GGCACTGTGGTATTCTGCTGAGTGGACAAAGTCAAGTGAGCAGGTTCAGTTGTTCCAGCTGTGTCTTGTATAATGCAGTTTGTGAACCGTGTTTTAGCAGTGTCCTTCAACGCTTTTTATTTTAGTTTAGATTTAGTGTGACTGTGGAAGTTTGTGAGCTGCAGATGTTGCTGTCAGTGAAGTGAAGTGCAACAAAAGAGGCCCTGGGCCTAATTAAAGAACTGTCTGTGGTGATTCCTAGTTTATATTGGTAATGGGTATCACTGTATCATCAGGGATGGTTTCACCAAGACTTGTCTGTACTGTCAGGCCAGTCATAGTTTTGCTCTTCTTGTAAGAAAGACAGTTTCACAGAAACAAAGACTTGTTTAAGCTTACCCTCTGAATTAAGAGCCATGCCTCCATGGTGACAATCAGCTATGCCTGCGGTCCAGTGGCACCATATAAGGGAAAGAGTTTTTAGAGAGTGTCTAGAGAGTCCTGTTGGAAATATACAGCACTGAGGACATTATCAGTCACTTGATGAAAACCCATAGCAGCCATAGGTCTGAGATGTTATGCTACTGGAATTGTTTTCCATTGTTGCTCTTGAATTGTACCAGTAAAACATACTGATAACTGTTGAAACCTTCCAGTTGGAGTGACAGAAGCTGTATGTGGTCAGCAACACAGGTCCTACTTAAGAGCCTGTTTAGACCTGGTATTGACATGTGTCTTGGATGATCTAATTACATGTGGACAGATATAAGCTCGTCATCTGTCTACACATGCATCTCAAGTGACCATTTGTGGTAAACACTATAGGGCTGTACCCTACTCAGAATTTAGTTAGTCAGTGTTCATTATTACTCTCCTTTTGGCTGTTCAATATTAATATTAATTCTTTTTTTCGGTTCAGCATCACAAACACTAAATACCAAACTCTTATGTCAGTCGGTCTTAAATCAGTCCGAGACTCATGTTTTAGCTGCGCTATCAGCAGCCCTGCAGGAGAGACACTTTGTGGTGGCAGTGATATTTTATGAGTGAACTATGTGAGCAGGACACACACTTTTACTTTCTCAAACTGTGTGGAAATCTGATGTTTTCACATCACAGATGACAAAGAAAGGCATCAATGCCAGAGAAAGTAAATGTGCATCCTGCTGACACCATACAGCATCTCTCCTGCCTGGCCCTAGAACAACAAGTTGGGACAAATTGTTTTTTACACAAATAAATAAATAAATTCATTAATTAATGTGTCTGCCAAATTTGCAAATAATAAAACTTAAAGTATAAAGTTTATGTGCATTCAGCAATTCTCAAAATTGTGTGATCCTGGTTATTTGTTAATCAGTTGAAACAGTGTTTTAAAAAAAAAAAAGCCTGTTTATCTTGGCAGGTAAAAGAGTCCAGAAAAATAATTTGCATTACAGTGAACTAAATACACACTTTTGTGTGTATATACAGGATGTCAGTTGAATTGGCTGTGTTTCAATGGGGCCAAGGATGCATTATATGATCAAATGCGTCCCAGACCACCTCTGCAAATCTGATCATAATGCATATTGGTGGTTATTGACACTTGTAAGTTGTTTACGCGTGTAAACAGAGAGTCAAACTAGAAAGTTTGAAATCTGACTGTTAGTTTGATCTAATCCAGAGTCACAGTCTCTCTTTGTGACACTGGCCTCAGGATATACTAAAAAGTGTACAATGTCAACTGTCAGAATATAATATTTGATATGCTATAAGTTATTTGATATGCTCAAAGTACTACTAGTAGAGTGCTGGTTACGATCAAGTTGAGGAACATAAACAACATGGGTTACTGTCAGGCGCATGATAGGATCATGTTTTGAGGGTTTAAGGACATATTTTAACAGGGTCGGAGGGGGTAAATGTTGTTGACAGTCAATGCAAAGATCAGAAATGTATATATCAGACCACTATATGTTGGCACTTGTCTACTGGTTGCTTGTTATCTAAATCTCTCTGGACTAGAGAATCAAGAAAATGTGCTAAATTCTAAGGATTTATTATTTCCTTTTAACCAATACGTATATTGGTAATCAAGTCGGTAATCATGTTATTCTATGCTTCTGTGGTTAATGTTTAACACAGTAGATTGCCTTATAATGTATCATATACATTTATTTGTCTCAGTGCTGTACTGCAACCAGGGTTTTTCAGATTTATAGTGTAGTGTACGTGTACTGTAAGGGTGATGAGATGTTTGTGAAATGCAGTGGAAAAGGTAAACAAACACCTTGAAAAACACGGATCTGCATTGTTCTAGTGTCACACGCTTACACAACATTATTAAAGTCAGTCATTAATCACACTCTACAAAGGTAACTTGAAGGTGCAACATCAGTATTATTTTAAGAAGATGATGCAACCCATAATGAGATGTTTCTGTACTTTCAGTGACTGACATTCAGCACTGGAGAGAAGCACTTATCTCCAGAGTATGGTTAGAGAGCAGATCCCCTGCTTAGTAATTAACAGACTGGCTGATTATTAACATAAAGCTCCTGAGTGTAGTTGTGCAACCTGAAGTTTTCATTTGTTTGGCAAACAAGTTGACTCTGTTGAGAGCATCTCACTGGGGCTCATCAGCTCTTTACGCAAGTTTTACGTCAGTAATCAGGACTGCAGGGGATTGGACCAGGATCTGTGTCCAAAACAAACTCTGCCTCTGAACCCCAGCGGATGCCACCTCAGCAAATAACTTATTTGCAGGCTATCAGACAGAATGAATACTACTGCCAAACTTTTGGCAACAGAAGTTTTAATGAAATATTAAATTACATGGAGAAGTGACAAAAACAGCAAAGCTATTTTCAGTAAAATAATGAAAGAAGCGTCCAGTATGGGTGCAATGCAGATTTGACCCAAAGGAATTTGGCACAATTTAAGAACTGTGTGAAATAAAATAGGTTAATGTGGTTTAAAAAAAACACCTCCATTATTGCATCATGGTGCTGTTTATGAGTCCCTTAGTATTATCCTTGAATGTCATCCAGCAGGTGTTCCTCACCTCTATATGTGCTTGTTTTGTTCCTGTTTAGGATAGTGTGTTACTGTGTTTAAAATGTCATTGTAAAAACAAACCATGCAAATAAACCTCACAACAAGAAGGTGCCTGACTTTAACACAAAGGAGTTGGCATTTCCTCTATGTTCAGGTATCCTGGTTTCTTCCTGTAGTCTAAAGACATGCAGGCCTGGTGAATCAGCAACTAATCTGCCCGTATGTGTGATTGTGTGTGAAGGTAATTGCCTCTCTATAAATATTAGATAATATGAAAAAGAAGAAAAAAAGAAAAATATGAAAGACTTTTTTTTTAATGCTCATTAAAGTTTTTTTTTTTATTTATCCTGTGTTCTCGAGAAAATGACTGTCGTCGAGATTAATGATGCATCTGTTCCATAATAATATAATTAATTACATGTCAAAATGCTGCTGTGAAAAAGGGCGTGTAGGTTCTACTCCCCTACAATCCTGAGTAGTAGAATCAAAACGATAAGTAATGGATAGATATGCAACATAGGGAGTATTTAATATATTATATATTATATTAATACAATACAGGATATTCGAGTCCTGGGCGGTATGACCAAAAATGTGTATCAAAGAATTGTTTTTGTTATTTTTGGATGACTGGGCCTTTATATAGATTTCTAGTGGCTCATTCTACTGTCAGGAGGACATAAAACACATACAATTTTTTTTAATGCCATCATGTATACACCGAAGGCCTCGATTACTGTAGGGTTTTCTCTTCGCCCCATAAAATTAAAGATATGCCTAACTTTAACATTGCTTCCTTAAAAAAAAAAAGAAAACATCTTAAAATAGTTGTACAAAAACAATAAACTGACCTAAAATATTTTAAAAGTATTTAAGTATTCAAAGAGATATTTCTCAAATATTGTATTGCACAAGAAAACAATTGTTATACATTAAAGAGAGTTTTGTGGGTTATTAATTGTTGTGTTATAAAGTTATAACTGTTAGTAAGAAGGGTACACAGTTAATATGGCTCCCCTCTCAATACATGCTACATGCTGGCGGTAGTGCTCATGCCTATTGAAGAGTTACAGCAGTCGTTTCAGCTGTGCACCAGTATCACAGTATATGAAACATTCACATCATAAAAGAAATTAAACCAGTGTACCGGTTCATCCGGTATATTGCCCAGGACTACAATATTGTGCTCTCAACAAAGAAATAGTAGGTTTTGCAAATGGATATATGGGGTCTTTTCCATTTACGAACATCAGAACAGGGGTCTCAAACTCAAATTGGCTTGTGGCCACTGGTATCGTCATCTCAATGGAGGGCCATTTCAACGTTCAAGTTCTATAAGAAAGTGCAATATTTCTGAAAATATTTACATTACTAAAGTCATACTGAACAGAAAAAAATGCAAACACCAGTTTCTATACATTTTATATCAGAATTTTATACCATCTTTGTTGTTCACAGCCAAACAACAAATGAAGGCCCACAACTTGCTCTCCTCCTGTCAAAGCATCTGTGAGTACCTTTGACATTTTGACAAACGTCAATTTTTTTAAAACCAGAATTGTGGTTTTTATGTGACTAAAATTTGAATATTGTAAAAGTGTGCACACTATTTTTCTATAATTCATTAATAAATAGAAAACTTCAAATACATTTGACAACAACCAAGAGAGAAGAAGAAAATATTTTTATTAGAAGATGTATTTTTTTTTATAAAAGCTTTCCTTGTGACCATACCAACATTTTTATGAGTGAGAACATAAATAAGAGGACTCAGACATCTCGGAGCAGGAATAAAAGTTATTACATTTATGCATAACATGAAACCAATGTAAAGAGCAGCTGTTTGTGTGAATGAGCACAACAGCTTGATATAGTTTAAGTTGTTCATATCTGAATAACAGAATTTACATTGTATGTGGGGTTAATAGATTGTTAACAGCGTAATCGTCATCGTAATGTAATCAAAGTCATGCGCCATACAATAGTGTAAAAATATTTTATTTTCAGACATAGAACATTGAATTGAGGCCATTCTCAGTAATTTCTTTTATACAAGCCAAAAAATACATAGCTTTTCAGTTCAAGAAAAAACTTTTCATCCCTAAGGCCATAAATGAGAGGACTGAGACATCTTGGAACAAGACCAAACATCATGTAATTAAAGTACCTGACTTGAACGAACAACATGAAATCAGTTTGAAGTACAGCAGTTTCTATGAATGGACACCACAGCTGGATGAGACAGAGGAGCAGCTGGAAACCATGAAGAATTACTGTTCTCAGCCCTTTCCATGTTGACTTTTTATTCTCTCCTGATGCAGCTTTGGCCACTTTCATTATTTTAACATATGAGAATAAAATGATGATACACATGATCAAGAAGTAAAACTGATTTATTGCTGACCTAAGATGATCCTGCCATGCGTGAACCAGGAAGATCTCTATAGAGCATATTTTGAATTGTGTGTAGAAGCTAATGGAGACTGATGAAAATAAAGTGGAGAGAATAACAATGCAGGGTACAAAGCTGAGGCCGTGAATGATGAGGATGCAATGCATAGTGCTGCGTGTGGAGCACAGCTCTGCATGCCGCAGGGGCATGCAGATGGCCACATATCGCTCCAGAGTCATTGCTGTCAGAGTAACTGGAGTGACTACAAAGTAGAGATATAATGTAAAACAAAGAATAATACACATCCCAAGTGGCATTGTAAACTGGAAGTAGCTCAAGATAAGCAGAATATCAGTCACTAATAATATCAAGCTATCAGACAGAAGTGTAACAGCAAATAAGATGTAGCGTGTAGTTGTGTAGAAGCACTCCTTTTTAAAAAAGGGCACAATGAGCAAAAAGTTGATGCAAAGAAAAATTACTACAAGGATTTGCACAATAATGACCTGGTCATTGATCTGCCGTCGCAAGGACTTACCACCAACCAATGAGCTGTTATCTGCCATATATTTTCTAAGAAGACACACAACTTGCTGAATCAAATGTTATTTGTAACGCTTGTTCTTATTACAAAATGATAGACGTAAAGCCCAATGTCAAACTTCTCTGAAGTACTAAGATGCAGTTTACTAAACCCTCCCTGCTGCAGAAGACAGATGTCTTCTGAGAGCGGGCCGTGCATGGTGACTTTAAAGACTAGAACATCCAAGAACAACACCAAATGAAACGTTGCTCACCACAGTGTCATAATTGCTACTTACTGGTTGTCCCCCTCATTGGCTATCCATAGTTGGCATAGATTGAGTTCAGAAGAGACTCTAAAGTCACTTTTTATCTTAAGTTGTGCATCAAGGAGTGATTGTAACTACATTTCTTTTTACCGATGGCCCCCTTTAAGTCCCAAAAGGTAAAAAATGTTTATCTTGTGCGCACAAGTTATTATCTTATGGGCACAAGTAACTAATCTTGTGGGCACAAGTTACTTATCTTGCAAAAAATGCACAAAATTTCTGGTGAAAATAAAACTGATAAACTGAGTTCTCTCCATTATATGATGGCTGTGTGCATCTGAAGCCGTTAGAGATGCATATGAATTTATAGTAAATTATATATAAGATATATAAATATATATACATATATATAAATATATATTATATTTCCTTTTGGGGGCTTTAGGGGCTCTGTATGTTTCTTTTTCAGTGTCTTCCAATATCCCCAACAAAATCATTAATTGAAATGTTGGACATAACTATTTAAATGTTTATTTGGGCTGGCAAGAATGCAAGAGCACATAGGACAGTACTACAGAGAATCAAACAGGACAGGGGCCTTTTATTTTATTATTAAGCAGCCAGTATTAAAAAAAAATCCATTCCTGGTTACCAGACCTCAATACAACTGACCATGTGTTTCTGCTAAAGACCAGGCTGAATCCAGAAAGGCACTAACAGTAAGAAGTTAAGATCGCTGCAGTGCAGGCCTGGCAGAGCATCACTATGGAAGATAGCAACACAAGGGAGACTTCATACTATGGATGAGCGAGTATAACATTATCTGTATCTGTTAAACCAGCTACATTATCTGTATTCGTGTCTGTGCTCGCAAGAGGCAGGGTTAAACCTGAAGAGGAGCAATGTTTTTGATCACAAGAGTAAGAAAACTATTTAAGTTGGTATATTTACAAGTACAGATATTGATCATCTGTACCGGATACTCATTTCAGCCAAATACTCGCTGCTCAATCCTACTCCATACAGTCATAGATATAGATAAAATCTCCAACCAAATATATATATAAAAAATTACTACAACCATTTTTCATGTCATGAGATTAAGGAACTACATAGTGATGATTATACTATTATCATTTTGATTTGTAGCACCTTGTATTCATTTTATGTGATTTATAAAGTATTCCAGAGCCACTTTTCATGTCATGCGTGAAAGTACAAACTTACACACAACCTAATTAATAACCCAGTTCTAACCCAAAACTTTTTTCAGATAAGTATAGTTTTCATTTTTCTGGAAGGTCTATTTTGACCTGAATTGCAATTTCTTATGCAGAATAGAGCAAGAGACAGATAGAGAGATAAACCTGCACGTAATTTCTGTCTCTGTGAGCTTTTTCAGATAACACCAAATACGTACATTTGCAAGCAGAGTCAACAGATCAATGCCTTTTACGCAATGAAATGGTCCTGGGGCCTTACAAATACCCACAGGACATGACAGTTGATCATCACAGAGCAGACTGCAAGAGTGCAAGCAGGGAACAAGATTATTTCTCAGATTTTTACAAATCCAAGGCAACAGTGAGTGGACAGCAGCCTAGTTTTAATTGCGGAAAAACAGAAAACCTACAGTCAGAAAACTACTTTTACTGCTGCTGGGCTAATCTGCAAAATGCAAGCTGTGCAGTGTTCAGTGTGTGCCAGCCGTGCTTCTGGAGCACTTCTGCGCAATCAGACAGACATTTCACTGCTGCGGACCAACAAGAGTTTGTTCAGGAGAGGAGCAGCCTGCATCCGCCTGAGGTACATTATGAATAATTGTCAGTGCCATAGATCTTTGCTGAAGCTTGCTGAAACTACCAGAATGTAGCCTGAATTGCTAGTAGTGCAGAAAGCGTATAATGGAAAATGTTATCCAATAGTACAGTCAAAATGTACCGTGTGTAACTGATTCTCAAATACTATTGAGCATGACTTTAATAACCTACTTTTATTCTTTCCTATTTTTTTTTACAACAGTTCTGAGAGTGCCCCACTGAGCAACAGGAAGCCTGGAGTCCAGAAGTTGGGGGAATGGAAAGATACTTCACACATGAGCATAGCATCTTTAAATGTTGGTCGCGGGCTTTCTGCTTTCCCTTTTTCACAGGTGGGTCAGTCTCCTACCAGAGATAGCATAACAGGGTACCAGCACCAGACATATTAGCTGCAGCTACACAAATCTTGTGTCACAATAGTTTGCTCTTGTTCTTCTTGTTTCGTACGAGGAGAAATTGAAGAGAGGAGTTGAAATGCAAATTTTTTTTCTCCCCTGTTTGTAGCAAGTGGAAAACCTCTCTCATGACTCCCTGATCAGAAGAGCAGCCTCAATGGTTACAGACAGTTCAAGTACCTTCCTCTCCCAGACCACCCTGGCTCTCATAGATGCGCTTAGAGACTACTCAAAGGTAGGTTTTCATCTTATGTGAAGCATTATATCCATATTTTACAACCCTTTTTTTTTTTTTTTTACCACAGGCTGAGAGTTTCATTATTTTTTTGGGGGAAAAAATCAGTTAATTAACATTCACATTATTAGGGGAAAAGGCACAGATCTGATGCAATCAGTAGTAACATTTGTTCAAACATTGACATTTTGAATCACATATTATTGACATCATATCAGGTGGACAAGAACTACTGCAACATTATTGTTAAAAAAACTGTCTAGTAATGTCCCTGACTGTCTGTCCTCTCTCTGTTTCCTAACAGGCTGTGCACACACGCATTGCTGTCCAAAGACGGTATTTAGCCTCAATGGGAAAACTGACCCCAGCAGAGGAGGATTCACTCCTGGAGGTGATCAATGGCCTGCGTGCACAGGTTAGTGTGTGTTGTCCTCTTTTGAGAAACGTTGAAAACAAACTTATATCTACTCTAGCATTCAGTTTTTCCTGCTCAGATCAGCTTTCATATTGAGTTATATTGAGTTATTCTCTTTGTCCTAACAGGTTAGTGACAGACTTGATGAATGCAAACGTTTTGAGTCAACCTGGATCAAAGCTGTCAACTTGTGTAAAATGGCAACTGAGGCAGCACACACCTCAGGTGAGTTAATATATGATTAATTGAGGCTTGATGTAATGTTGAAATACTGTTGTATTTATAATGGTGGAATACTGAAGGGATCTGTTACAAAAAGCAGATAAGCAGTAGGAAGTGTACAGAGCAAATGTTGTCACTCAGTAGAGCTTTATATTTAAAAAATGGATTTAGTGGTCAGCAGGCCCCTCTGAGGGTCCACATCTAATGTTTTCACTTAAGCTGGTGTTGTGTCAACCCTTGGACTTCCTCACCAATTTGACAAATGCTTTTTTGCGCCTGTATGTTTCCAGGAGCCGAGCAGGCGTCCATCACAGTGAGGACAAACATTCAAGTGGCCCAGTCGCAGGTGGAGGAGGCACGGAAACTGTCAGCGGATGCAGATAAGAAGTTGGCCGAGACTAAAGTAGAAGAGATCCAAATGAGGGCAGAATTTGCCTTTCGAGAAGATAGTGAGGAGCATGAGGTGCACGAGGCGTATCTTCGAGAGGACTAAGACAAATAGAGATACTGACAGTGAAAAAATGCTTTCACCTTTGAAAGCTTTGAGCTATTAAACTTTTATTACCAGATTATGTCTCTATTCTGCTTTTAGCCTTTAAGGTGTTTACAAGTTTGCAATCAAAATTTGAAAAGGAAATTAAATAAACTTCTATTTTTGTAATTCTTTACTTCTGCATAAATCATTATTTAAGACTATTTATTTGATTAGTGAATGTCAGCCTCTTTTGGAGTTTCTGGAAAATGATTATTGAATCTCCAGTATATATTGTATGGCAGTGGGACAACGTTGTTTATTGGATGTTTTATTGTAACAAAGTCATTTTTTTCTAAAACAGTTGTTTATTTGTTTTCACAAAGCAAAATAATAAAATCAATCTGATTGAATGTATGTGTTGATGGTTGACTTTTGTAACAAGGGATGGAGAGAGATGACATCCTTGCCTGGTCCTCTAATTTACTGTATGTGTGATTGTTTTTAAAAGAGAGTCTACTATTACTTGTGTATGTTGTCACTGATATCAAAGGATAAAATTATATAAAGTAATTTATTTGTCATTTTACAACGCAAAATAAGAATTCTTATAATAAGAAACAGAATTTGAAGAACACTTTTTGTCTAAATCTTAGTTAAAGTTATAGTTAATTAGAGCTTTGCTTCTCTCAAAATCATAATGCTATAGGGAGTGCAGTCTTTTCCTTGCTTAGCCCATCTCTACTTGCCAATAGCCACAGATGAGGTCAGGGTTTGAAATTATAATATTTAAAAATACTTTTAATAGATATGGTAAATACTACACACATGCTTCTGTTGGAAAACAATTTCTTTAATTTGTCAAACAATATTTTTTTTATAGAAGACAAAGAAGACATTGCTTTTCAGCTCAAGAAAAAACTTTTCATCCCTGAGGCCATAAATGAGAGGACTGAGACATCTTGGAACAAGACCAAACATTATGTAATTAAAGTACCTGACTTGAACAAACAACAAGAAATCAGTTTGAAGTACAGTAGCTTCTATAAATGGACACCACAGCTGGATAAGACAGAGGAGCAGCTGGAAACCATGAAGAATTACTGTTCTCAGCCCTTTCCATGTTGACTTTTTATTCTCTCCTGATGCAGCTTTGGCCACTTTCATTATTTTAACATAAGAGAATAAAATGATGATACACATGATCAAGAAGTAAAACTGACTAACAGCTGACCTAAGATGATCGTGCCACCTGTACAACATGAACATCTCCACAGAACATACATTAAATTGTTTGTACACGCTAAGAGATGCTGATGCACAGAAGGCAGAGAGAATAACAATGCAGGGTACAGAGCTGAGGCCGTGAATGATGAGGATGCAATGTATAGTGTTGCGAGTGGAGCACAGCTCTGCATGCCGCAGGGGCATGCAAATGGCAACGTAGCGCTCTAGGGTCATTGCTGTCAGAGTAACTGGAGTGACTGTAAGATACACAAGTACAACGATGCAGATAATAATACACAACCAAACTTGCATAATGAAACGAAAATAGCTCATGATGAGAAGTATAGCAGACATGAATAACAACAAGCTATCAGACAGTAATGTAACAGCAAATAAGATGTAGCGTGTAGTTGTGCGGAAGCACTCCTTTCTAAACAAAGTCACAATGAGCAACATGTTGATGCAAAGAAACATTATCACCAGGATCAGCACAATAATGACCTGGTCATTGATCTGCCGTTGCAAGGACTCACCACCACCCAATGAGCTGTTATTTGCCATCTATCAGTTTTTAGCATTAAAGTGTCATTATTAAATATGTGTGTCAAAAGAAATTGAGATTGTTTCAGTAAATGAATTCCAATCTCAAACTTCTCTGAAGTGGTGATGCTGGTTAAAATACAGCACCCAACCCTTCCTGCTGTTCCAAACACGGATGTCTTCTGAGACAGGGCTGCGCATGATGACTTTTTAAAGACTAGAACGTCTCCGAATAACTTACTCACCACTGTCGTCATCATAACTGACTGCTAGGCCAGTCCCCCTCATTGGCTAGCCATAGTCAGAAAGATAGAGATCTGGAGAGACTCTGGGGACTGAAGTTGGTCTTCTTCAAGTTTGCTTCAAATATAATATTATTATAAGAGTTAATTTTCTTTACGCCATATCCATGGCAAGCTAAAGGGAAACACGGAAACCAGGACAGAACAAAGAAATCACAACCAAATAAACTAAAGGTCTTGTTAAAAATTGTGCCATTACCCCCAAAGCAACACTATGTAACTTTTTTGGTGGTGATGTTACTGTGTAATAGGGTGAATAGTGTCTCTGTCATTCCGGCTCTGTGCCCCATAGGTCTGTTCCTGCATGTAACTTTTAGCTCCGGCTACAAGGTCCTGCGAGAAGTGTGTAACACTGTAAACCAGCAGTCACACACCATCAACTTTGTCACAGATTTTGGTGAAACTTTTCTGGTTTTTCCTATGATGTCCTCTGGCTGCTCCGATTCAACTCTCCAATTCAACTCTCAGTGAGTTTCTTGGATGGTAAAGCAATGCTAAATGTAGCTGTCTTAAGTTAGTTAGCTCACAGTTAACTGTGCTGTCCGGACTGCGAGCTCAAAGCACTGGGGGGGAATGTCAGTATTTACACTGGTGGCACAAAAGGGAAGAGACAAAGGACATTGAGTAGAGAGTGACTGTATAAGTTAGAGCGTTATGAAATAAAAGGCTTCATATAGACAGCAGCAAGCTGCCTTCTTGGTATTGGACTAATAAGTAATATTAGCTGACTTGCTATGTCATTTGTTGTTGCACTTGCTTGATGTTTGGCTGTTAGCAAAATTGTCGGCTTGCTAGTTTTTTGCACATGTACAGCTGGCCCTGTTTGCGACAGGGGCATTGCACTATCGCCAAATCACAGCAAATACCAAATCTTATATAATGTTGCTGTAATGGTCATCCTTACAACCCCCCCTCTATAATAAGGCTCGTATTACACCAAAGTTCACACAGGTTGATCTGCAGGGTGGGCTCACTTGTTGCTGGTTCAGAGTTTGCTCTGGATGCTGGGGCTCAGGCATCAGGTGTTGCAGCTTCCTGGGTTGAGTCACTTGGCTCAGGTGGTGCAGCTTCATGAAATGGCTTTCGAAGGCCAACCATTAATGGAACTGCTGTTTGCTGGGGCTGAACTGGGATTTGTATGGGGTCTTTAAGGATCAGCGGATCGCTCACCTCTGTAGTGGTTTGTTGAGGAACAAACTCTTGTATTGGTTATCAAGGAGTATATGGACAAAGTCCATAGCACTGTCCCCAACCTCTAAGCAACACTGAAGAGAAATGTCAGTCAAGACAGTCCTACAATATTCAGAGTCTTCAGTATTTCTGTGGTCATTAATTCCTGGTAGATGACCACAAATGACCTTTGTGAATACCTCAGTGACCTAAATTGGACCTAAATTGGATCATAATTTACAAAATGAACATTGTGATGCGTGTAGCTAGAGATTTCTACCATAAAGTCATTAGGAAATTGTTCACTCAGCCAATAAATCTCCATAAGACTGCATGTTAGTTGTCTTTTATTGCAGCCAATGGAGCTCCCCCTGCTGGCCAGTACATGATGGTTTAAGACACTGATGAATTGGCTTCACTCCACAGACCCGGAAGCTCTGTCCATTGTATATACTATGAATGGTCCGGCCTGAAGCACTTTGCCATATCCCCTCTCTCTCTCCTCCCTTTCCAGTCACTCACTGTATTGTCCTGTCAAAAATAAAGCAAAATGCCAAAAACAAAGATGTGTATTGGATAACAACTGTGGACTGTGGTGTTACATTATGCTGCTATAACAGACACAGGTGAATAAAAATACACAGGAAATACAATCTGCTATTAGATGTCATTATCAGTGTAATTAAAAAAGGTGTGGTGTAATCAGAAATCCAGATCGGTTGTGTGTTCTTTTCAGATGGTTACTGTCAGATGTCTTCAATTATATGTGCGGTGGTATATCAAGAAATCAAAGAATATTATTTATCATTATACAACACAATGCTGTACAACAAAATGAGTTCCTTCATACTGAACACACAGTAAGATAATTAAAATAAAAGAAATGTGCCACATTTATACATTTTTAGTTATTTAATGACATAAAATGTTCACAGTCTGATTCAACTGCATCAAAATAACAACAACATTAATGTCTAAAATCTAAAATGCACAGTTACGACCGTAATAGGATGTTTGGTCAAAAACTAATCATGTCAGAATATAAAAGCAGTGTTCAGCTTGAATTGCAGACATATTCAGTATATTCATTTTTTAATTTAGCGCTGCATGCAATTTTTATGTTAGATACATTATGAATTATTATTATTACCTGGTCAAATATTTATTTTCCACAAGCCAAACAAGCGATAGTTTTTCAGAGCATGAAAAAATGTTTCATCTCTGAGGCCATAAATAAGAGGACTCAGACATTTTGGAGTAACATTAAACAATATGTAGTTAAAGTACCTGACATTAATAAATAAAATTAAATCAATTTGAAATACAGCAGCTTCTAATATTGGACACCACAGCTGGATGAGACAGAGGAGCAGCTGGAAACCATGAAGAATTACTGTTCTCAGCCCTTTCCATGTTGACTTTTTATTCTCTCCTGATGCAGCTTTGGCCACTTTCATTATTTTAACATAAGAGAATAAAATGATGATACACATGATCAAGAAGTAAAACTGACTAACAGCTGACCTAAGATGATTGTGCCACCTGTACAACATGAACATCTCCACAGAACATACCTTATAGTGTTTGTACATGCTAAGAGATGCTGATGCAAAGAAGGCAGAGAGAATAACAATGCAGGGTACAGAGCTGAGGCCGTGAATGATGAGGATGCAATGTATAGTGCTGCGAGTGGAGCACAGCTCTGCATGCCGCAGGGGCATGCAAATGGCAACGTAGCGCTCCAGGGTCATTGCTGTCAGAGTAACTGGAGTGACTGTAAGATACACAAGTACAACGATGCAGATAATAATACACAACCAAACTTGCATAATGAAACGAAAATAGCTCATGATGAGAAGTATAGCAGACATGAATAACAACAAGCTATCAGACAGTAATGTAACAGCAAATAAGATGTAGCGTGTAGTTGTGCGGAAGCACTCCTTTCTAAAAAAAGTCACAATGAGCAACATGTTGATGCAAAGAAACATTATCACCAGGATCAGCACAATAATGACCTGGTCATTGATCTGCCGTTGCAAGGACTCACCACCACCCAATGAGCTGTTATTTGCCATCTATTAGTTTTTAGCATTAAAGTGTCATTATTAAATATGTGTGTCAAAAGAAATTGAGATTGTTTCAGTAAATGAATTCCAATCTCAAACTTCTCTGAAGTGGTGATGCTGGTTAAAATACAGCACCCAACCCTTCCTGCTGTTCCAAACACGGATGTCTTCTGAGACAGGGCTGCGCATGATGACTTTTTAAAGACTAGAACGTCTCCGAATAACTTACTCACCACTGTCGTCATCATAACTGACTGCTAGGCCAGTCCCCCTCATTGGCTAGCCATAGTCAGAAAGATAGAGATCTGGAGAGACTCTGGGGACTGAAGTTGGTCTTCTTCAAGTTTGCTTCAAATATAATATTATTATAAGAGTTCATTTTCTTTACGCCATATCCATGGCAAGCTAAAGGGAAACACGGAAACCAGGACAGAACAAAGAAATCACAACCAAATAAACTAAAGGTCTTGTTACAAATTGTGCCATTACCCCCAAAGCAACACTATGTAACTTTTTTGGTGGTGATGTTACTGTGTAATAGGGTGAATAGTGTCTCTGTCATTCCGGCTCTGTGCCCCATAGGTCTGTTCCTGCATGTAACTTTTAGCTCCGGCTACAAGGTCCTGCGAGAAGTGTGTAACACTGTAAACCAGCAGTCACACACCATCAACTTTGTCACAGATTTTGGTGAAACTTTTCTGGTTTTTCCTATGATGTCCTCTGGCTGCTCCGATTCAACTCTCCAATTCAACTCTCAGTGAGTTTCTTGGATGGTAAAGCAATGCTAAATGTAGCTGTCTTAAGTTAGTTAGCTCACAGTTAACTGTGCTGTCCGGACTGCGAGCTCAAAGCACTGGGGGGGAATGTCAGTATTTACACTGGTGGCACAAAAGGGAAGAGACAAAGGACATTGAGTAGAGAGTGACTGTATAAGTTAGAGCGTTATGAAATAAAAGGCTTCATATAGACAGCAGCAAGCTGCCTTCTTGGTATTAGACTAATAAGTAATATTAGCTGACTTGCTATGTCATTTGTTGTTGCACTTGCTTGATGTTTGGCTGTTAGCAAAATTGTCGGCTTGCTAGTTTTTTGCACATGTACAGCTGGCCCTGTTTGCGACAGGGGCATTGCACTATCGCCAAATCACAACAAATACCAAATCTTATATAATGTTGCTGTAATGGTTGTCATCCTTACAACCCCCCCTCTATAATAAGGCTCGTATTACACCAAAGTTCACACAGGTTGATCTGCAGGGTGGGCTCACTTGTTGCTGGTTCAGAGTTTGCTCTGGATGCTGGGGCTCAGGCATCAGGTGTTGCAGCTTCCTGGGTTGAGTCATTTGGCTCAGGTGGTGCAGCTTCATGAAATGGCTTTCGAAGGCCTACCATTAATGGAACTGCTGTTTGCTGGGGCTGAACTGGGATTTGTATGGGGTCTTTAAGGATCAGCGGATCGCTCACCTCTGTAGTGGTTTGTTGAGGAACAAACTCTTGTATTGGTTATCAAGGAGTATATGGACAAAGTCCATAGCACTGTCCCCAACCTCTAAGCAACACTGAAGAGAAATGTCAGTCAAGACAGTCCTACAATATTCAGAGTCTTCAGTATTTCTGTGGTCATTAATTCCTGGTAGATGACCACAAATGACCTTTGTGAATACCTCAGTGACCTAAATTGGACCTAAATTGGATCATAATTTACAAAATGAACATTGTGATGCGTGTAGCTAGAGATTTCTACCATAAAGTCATTAGGAAATTGTTCACTCAGCCAATAAATCTCCATAAGACTGCATGTTAGTTGTCTTTTATTGCAGCCAATGGAGCTCCCCTTGCTGGCCAGTACATGATGGTTTAAGACACTGATGCATTGGCTTCACTCCACAGACCCGGAAGCTCTGTCCATTGTATATACTATGAATGGTCCGGCCTGAAGCACTTTGCCATATCCCCTCTCTCTCTCCTCCCTTTCCAGTCACTCACTGTATTGTCCTGTCAAAAATAAAGCAAAATGCCAAAAACAAAGATGTGTATTGGATAACAACTGTGGACTGTGGTGTTACATTATGCTGCTATAACAGACACAGGTGAATAAAAATACACAGGAAATACAATCTGCTATTAGATGTCATTATCAGTGTAATTAAAAAAGGTGTGGTGTAATCAGAAATCCAGATCGGTTGTGTGTTCTTTTCAGATGGTTACTGTCAGATGTCTTCAATTATATGTGCGGTGGTATATCAAGAAATCAAAGAATATTATTTATCATTATACAACACAATGCTGTACAACAAAATGAGTTCCTTCATACTGAACACACAGTAAGGTAATTAAAATAAAAGAAATGTGCCACATTTATACATTTTTAGTTATTTAATGACATAAAATGTTCACAGTCTGATTCAACTGCATCAAAATAACAACAACATTAATGTCTAAAATCTAAAATGCACAGTTACGACCGTAATAGGATGTTTGGTCAAAAACTAATCATGTCAGAATATAAAAGCAGTGTTCAGCTTGAATTGCAGACATATTCAGTATATTAATTTTTTAATTTAGCGCTGCATGCAATTTTTATGTTAGATACATTATGAATTATTATTATTACCTGGTCAAATATTTATTTTCTACAAGCCAAACAAGCAATAGTTTTTCAGAGCATGAAAAAATGTTTCATCTCTGAGGCCATAAATAAGAGGACTCAGACATCTTGGAGTAAGACTAAACAATATGTAGTTAAAGTACCTGACATTAATAAATAAAATTAAATCAATTTGAAATACAGCAGCTTCTAATAGTGGACACCACAGCTGGATGAGACAGAGGAGCAGCTGGAAACCATGAAGAATTACTGTTCTCAGCCCTTTCCATGTTGACTTTTTATTCTCTCCTGATGCAGCTTTGGCCACTTTCATTATTTTAACATACGAGAATAAAATGATGATACACATGATCAAGAAGTAAAACTGACTAACAGCTGACCTAAGATGATCGTGCCACCTGTACAACATGAACATCTCCACAGAACATACCTTATATTGTTTGTACACGCTAAGAGATGCTGATGCAAAGAAGGCAGAGAGAATAACAATGCAGGGTACAGAGCTGAGGCCGTGAATGATGAGGATGCAATGTATAGTGCTGCGAGTGGAGCACAGCTCTGCATGCTGCAGGGGCATGCAAATGGCCACAAAGCGCTCCAGAGTCATTGCTGTCAGAGTAACTGGTGTGACTATTACATACAGAAGTACCACAACAGAGATAATGATACATAACCAAACTTGTATGGTAAATCCAAAATGGGCCAAGATGAGCAGAATATTAGACATGAGCAATATAAAGCTATCAGACAGAAGTGTAACAGCAAATAAGATGTAGCGTGCAGTTGTGTAGAAGCAATCCTTTCTGAAAAAGGTTACAATGAGCAAAAAGTTGATGAAAAGAAATATAATCACCAGGATCTGCACAATAATTATCTTTTCATTAATCTGCCTCTGTGAGACCCCACCACCAGCCGATGAGTTGTTATCAGCCATCACTTTTCTAAACAAATATACAGATTATTGAGGTTCTTCCAAGTGTTAAATTATTATTATTAAATGTCTCAGTGAAAAGAAAATTAGATTCCTATCACAAAAAGACAAAACCCTTCCCTGCAAAAGCATAGCGTTGTGGCACACATTTTCAAAGACCGATATTGTCTGTAGAGGTCTTTGCAGTGTTTTGAGTGAGGGTTGCACATGAATATTTTATAGGAGCGACAAGAGCACAAATAAATGAGAGTGACGGAAAATTAAACTTTGCTCACCACAGTGTCGTCATTGCCACTTTCTGCAAGTTTCCCCTAAGTGGCTCTCACTAGACACATCCAGGTTGTAGGTAAAGGTCAACTTTAAAACAACATTTTTGCTCAAGTCTTTAATTTGTGGGCCATTTTAAGTTGGTGTCAATCACTGTGCAATGTGTTCTTTTCTGTATAATTTATTTTCCTCTAAACAAACATTACAGTCAAAATCAAAGTATGTAAAATGCTTATATAGCTTTACAACTTTAATATTAACACAATATATAACACAGCAGTTGTTTATTGTTAATACAGTCCAAGCACTCTGTGTGTCATATTTGTTGCTAGGTTTGGATGCAACAAGGACCTTTAATCAATATTTAATAGAATTTAACATGAAAGGCAGAAAAAAAACTAAAAACATGGGCACCTCAAATGCACAATGATGCAACAATACAAACAGTGTTGAGCTTAAACTGTAATGTAAAGAAACATTATATAAGATTGGGGATTTTAGCAATATTGTCTGATACCTCTGACGTAAATATGGACAGCTGTACACGTGCATTGTTTATGATTGCATGATTTATGGCCAAAAACTAGCGAGTCTTTGCTAACATAGCAAAACATCGAGCAATTGCAACAACACAAGACATAACAAGCTAATATTACTGACAACAAGAAAGCCAGCTCGGCATCTGTCTGCAACCTTTTAATTCACAAAGCTCTCACCAACGACAAAGATTTACTCTTGTCCTGTGGCTTCTTCTTCAGCTCTGGTTCTGGCATAACATGAGCTCCGCTCTGTGTCAGCTTTCCCCACTGGCTTTCGCTGGCCGTGGGCCTGAAAACCTTCTTCTCCTGTTGGTCTGAAGCTCCTTTGCTTGCCGTGTAAATACACCACCAAATATGCTTTGAGCTCTCAGTCCAGGCTGAAGACTGGGACAAGTCAGTGTAGCGTCGAAATGATTATGAAACTGTTATTTTAAGGTAGAAAAGTTACATAATAAGTTAAATAACAATGCAGTAATAGTCAGGCTTATAACAATAAACTAGAATTAAGTAAAAGTGAATTGCATACATATTCAGTTGATTTAATTAGTGCATTGTTTAGTTTCTGTGCTAGAAAATTATTAATGTACCATGTCAAATATTTATTTTCTACAAGCCAAAGAAGACATAGTTTTTCAGTGCATTAAAAAAAGTTTCATCCCTGAGGCCATAAATAAGAGGACTCAGACATCTTGGAGTAACACTAAACAATATGTAGGTAGCATACCTGACATTAATAAATAACATTAAATCAATTTGAAACACAGCAGCTTCTATTAATGGGCACCACAGCTGGATGAGACAGAGGAGCAGCTGGAAACCATGAAGAATTACTGTTCTCAGCCCTTTCCACGTTGACTTTTTATTCTCTCCTGATGCAGCTTTGGCCACTTTCATTATTTTAACATACGAGAATACAATGATGATACACATGATCAAGAAGTAAAACTGACTAACAGCTGACCTAAGATGATCGTGCCACCTGTACAACATGAACATCTCCACAGAACATACCTTATATTGTTTGTACACGCTAAGAGATGCTGATGCAAAGAAGGCAGAGAGAATAACAATGCAGGGTACAGAGCTGAGGCCGTGAATGATGAGGATGCAATGTATAGTGCTGCGAGTGGAGCACAGCTCTGCATGCCGCAGGGGCATGCAAATGGCCACAAAGCGCTCCAGAGTCATTGCTGTCAGAGTAACTGGTGTGACTATTACATACAGAAGTACCACAACAGAGATAATGATGCATAACCAAACTTGTATAGTAAAATTAAAGTGGTTCATTATTAGCAGAATATTAGACGTGAGCAATATAAAGCTATCAGACAGAAGTGTAACAGCAAATAAGATGTAGCGTGCAGTTGTGTAGAAGCACTCCTTCCTGAAAAAGGTTACAATGAGCAAAAAGTTGATGCAAAGAAATATCATCACCAGGATCTGCACAATAATGACTTTGTCATTGATCTGCTTCAGTGAGACCCCACCACCAGCCGATGAGTTGTTATCAGCCATCACTTTTCTAAACAAATATACAGATTATTGAGGTTCTTCCAAGTGTTAAATTATTATTATTAAATGTCTCAGTGAAAAGAAAATTAGATTCCTATCACAAAAAGACAAAACCCTTCCCTGCAGTAGCATAGCGTTGTGGCACACATTTCCAAAGACAGATGTTGTCTGTAGAGGTCTTTGCAGTGTTCTGAGTGAGGGCTGCGCATGAATATTTTATAGGAGCAACTAGAACACATGTAGAGTGAGGGCATATTAAACTTTGCTCACCACAGTGTCGTCATTGCCTCTTTCTGCAAGTCTCCCTGAGTGACTATCACTAGACACATCCAGGCTGTAGGTTAATGTCAACTTTATTATCCCAAGTAGGGAAATTAGGCTGGTCAAGGTGAAGAAGTACAATATTCAGTCATTGTCAGGCTATTGAATTAATGCCTGTTGCTTCTTGTTCCCTTCTCTCAATAATTCCAGTGAGGCTACACAGGCATCTATAGAAATGAAAATTAATGTAGATTTGGACATAAGGGCTTGGTGGATTGTTGGGACTAACTCTTGTGTTGGTTGTCCAGGTATATATGGACAGGGTTTGAGTTTTTTACGATAGATTGTCCATTCTGGGCCCTTACAGATTCTGTACATGGGACTCTCAGGATTCATGAATAAAGAACTTTATTGTCATTGTGCAAGCACAACAAAATTGCAATGGCATCAACCTCAAATGGTGCAATTCTGTTTATGAATCATACATATTTCTAAAGAATAAATGAGACAGGAAGCCATAAAAACTACAGAATCTAAGCAATTTGAGTACAAAATATAAGTAATGTAAAACTTTAAAAACAATTAACAATTGAAGAGGCAAGCAGCGTTAAATGAATTTTCATAATTTTCAGTAGTATGAGACACTGTGTTAATGAATAAAATATTATTTCCTGTGTGGAGTATGTGGCGCTGGAGCAAGACATGTTGGAAATGTTGTATAGATGTGATTAACTATGTGTTACCTAGGCTTCACTTCCTGTTGCCAGTAGGGCAATTAAAGTAAATTATTAAAGTAGCAATATATTTACTGGAGGTTGACTGACATTTAATAATTATTGGACACTGTATGAAGAAGTTAAATATCATTTCCTGTGTCCCCTATGTTATATTACATATAACTTAACAGGGTCCGAGTTTGACCAGTTGCCATTTGCTGCATGTCATCCTCTCTCTCTCTTCCCCCTTTCCTGTCACTCTGCAGCTGTCCTATCTAATGAAGGCAAAAGCTCCCAAAAAATATCAAACAACAGCAACAATGTGTTGTTAATTTATGAATCCAACAGAAAAAAAAACAAATAACAACTTATTTTTCACACTTTACATTTTATGCTCAAATCCAAAATAGGAAATTAAGAAAACTGGCCACGGATTGAAATTGATTTTGATTTTTAATGTGGCCGATTTGTGTGACCAGGAAGTTGCTGACTCATTGTGTTTTTCACTTGATAAACTCACATGAAGTAAATTCACTTGGGCCATGGCGGTAGTTAATTTAAGGTATGAATTTGAAGTTGAACATCAGCATACATGTTTTCTATTTTGGAAAATAAAAAAACAAGGCTCGATTGGTAGTACACAGTCTAACTTGCTGTATGCGTATACTTGGATAGGAACAGGAACACTTCAGAACTTACTTGAGAATCCTCCAGTTTTTATGATATCTTCAATATCACAGTAGTTCAGTGATAGTTGTCAGTGCATCCAATAGTACACAGCAAAGAATTGTTAATTGGGCCAACTTAATTTTCCAAAATGTAAACAACACAACACTTAAATTTATGTCCAAGTTCATATTCATTACATCAGGTAGCGCCATCACAAAGATGTCAGTAACCTACCTTCCTGGTCACACAAATCAGAGGGATTAATTATCAAAAATGTAATTAAATCCATGACTCATTATTTTTAATTTGGGCATAAAATAAAAAAGCAAATTTTTATTTTCCGATTTTGGATTCTATATTGAATATAAAAAGAACAAATTAATTCAGGCATTCAGACATATATTATCTTTAATTTGTGCATTGTACAATTTGTCTGTTAGTAAATTATTACTCTACCTTGAAGAATGTTTTTTCTACAATCCAGAGAAGGCATAGTTTTTCAGTGCACGAAAAAAAATTTCATCTCTGAGCCCATAAATAAGAGGACTCAGACATCTTGGAGTAAGACGAAAGAATATGTAGTTAAAGTACCTGACATTCATAAATAACCTTAAATTAATATGAAACAAAGCAGTTTCTATGAATGGGCACCACAGCTGGATGAGACAGAGGAGCAGCTGGAAACCATGAAGAATTACTGTTCTCAGCCCTTTCCATGTTGACTTTTTATTCTCTCCTGATGCAGCTTTGGCCACTTTCATTATTTTAACATACGAGAATACAATGATGATACACATGATCAAGAAGTAAAACTGACTAACAGCTGACCTAAGATGATCGTGCCACCTGTACAACATGAACATCTCCACAGAACATACCTTATGTTGTTTGTACATGCTAAGAGATGCTGATGCAAAGAAGGCGGAGAGAATAACAATGCAGGGTACAGAGCTGAGGCCGTGAATGATGAGGATGCAATGTAAAGTGCTGCGAGTGGAGCACAGCTCTGCATGCCGCAGGGGCATGCAAATAGCCACAAAGCGCTCCAGAGTCATTGCTGTCAGAGTAATTGGTGTGATGTTGTAGTACAGAAGTACCACAACAGAGATAATGATACATAACCAAACTTCTATGGTCAAATTAAAGTGGTTCATTATTAGCAGAATATTAGACATGAGCAATATAAAGCTATCAGACAGAAGTGTAACAGCAAATAAGATGTAGCGTGCAGTTGTGTAGAAGCACTCCTTCCTGAAAAAGGTTACAATGAGCAAAAAGTTGATGCAAAGAAATATCATCACCAGGATCTGCACAATAATGACTTTGTCATTGATCTGCGTCAGTGAGACCCCACCACCAACCGATGAGTTGTTATCAGCCATCACTTTTCTAAACAAATACACAGATTATTGAGGTACTTTAAAGTGTTAAATTATATTATTAAATGTCTCAGTGAAAAGAAAATTAGATTCCTATCACAAAAAGACCAAACCCTTCCCTGCAGTAGCATAGCGTTGTGGCACACATTTCCAAAGACAGATGTTGTCTGTAGAGGTCTTTGCAGTGTTCTGAGTGAGGGCTGCGCAATAATATTTTATAGGAGCGACTAGAACACATGTAGAGTGAGGGCAAATTAAACTTTGCTCACCACAGTGTCGTCATTTCCTCTTTCTGCAAGTCTCCCTGAGTGACTATCACTAGACACATCCAAGCTGTAGGTTAATGTCAACTTTATTATCCCAAGTAGGGAAATTAGGCTGGTCAAGGTGAAGAAGTACAATATTCAGTCATTGTCAGGCTATTGAATTAATGCCTGTTGCTTCTTGTTCTCTTCTCTCAATAATTCCAGTGAGGCTACACAGGCATCTATAGAAATGTAAAATAATGTAGATTTGGACATAAGGGCTTGGTGGATTGTTGGGACTAACTCTTGTGTTGGTTGTCCAGGTATATATGGACAAGGTTTGAGTTTTTTACGATAGATTGTCCATTCTGGGCCCTTACAGATTCTGTACATGGGACTCTCAGGATTCATGAATAAAGAACTTTATTGTCATTGTGCAAGCACAACAAAATTGCAATGGCATCAACCTCAAATGGTGCAATTCTGTTTAAGAATCATACATATTTCTAAAGAATAAATGAGACAGGAAGCCATAAAAACTACAGAATCTAAGCAATTTGAGTACAAAATATAGGTAATGTAAAATTTTAAAAACAATTAACAATTAAAGCGGCAAGCAGCGTTAAATGAATTTTCATAATTTTCAGAAGTATGAGACACTGTGTTAATGAATAAAATATTATTTCCTGTTTGGAGTATGTGGCGCTGGAGCAAGACATGTTGGAAATGTTGTATAGATGTGATTAGCTATGTGTTACCTAGGCTTCACTTCCTGTTGCCAGTAGGGCAATTAAAGTAAATTATTAAAGTAGCAATATATTTACTGGAGGTTGACTGACATTTAATAATTATTGGACACTGCATGAAGAAGTTAAATATCATTTCCTGTGTCCCCTATGTTATATTACATATAACTTAACAGGGTCCGAGTTTGACCAGTTGCCATTTGCTGCATGTCATCCTCTCTCTCTCTTCCCCCTTTCCTGTCACTCTGCAGCTGTCCTATCTAATGAAGGCAAAAGCTCCCAAAAAATATCAAACAACAGCAACAATGTGTTGTTAATTTATGAATCCAACACAAAAACAAATAACAGCTTATTTTTCATACTTTAAATTTTATGCTCAAATCCAAAATAAGAAATTAAAAAACTGGCCACGGATTGAAATTGATTTAGATTTTTAATGTGGCCGATTTGCGTGACCAGGAAGTTGCTGACCCGTTGTGTTTTTCACTTGATAAACTCACATGCAGTAAATTCACTTGGGCCATGGCGGTAGCTAATTTAAGGTATGAATTTGAGGTTGAGCATCAGCATACAGCGAGTCTTTGCTAACATGGCAAAACATTGAGAAAGTGCAACAACATAAGACATAACAAGCTAATATTACTGACAACAAGAAAGCCAGCTCGGCATCTGTCTGCAACCTTTTAATTCACAAAGCTCTCACCAACGACAAAGATTTACTCTTGTCCTGTGGCTTCTTCTTCAGCTCTGGTTCTGGCATAACATGAGCTCCGCTCTGTGTCAGCTTTCCCCACTGGCTCTCGCTGGCCGTGGGCCTGAAAACCTTCTTCTCCTGTTGGTCTGAAGCTCCTTTGCTTGCCGTGTAAATACACCACCAAATATGCTTTGAGCTCTCAGTCCAGGCTGAAGACTGGGACAAGTCAGTGTAGCGTCGAAATTATTATGAAACTGTTATTTTAAAGTAGAAAAGTTACATAATAAGTTAAATAACAATGCAGTAATAGTCAGGCTTATAACAATAAACTAGAATTAAGTAAAAGTGAATTGCATACATATTCAGTTGATTTAATTAGTGCATTGTTTAGTTTCTGTGCTAGAAAATTATTTATCTACCATGTCAAATATTTATTTTCTACAAGCCAAAGAAGACATAGTTTTTCAGTGCATTAAAAAAAGTTTCATCCCTGAGGCCATAAATAAGAGGACTCAGACATTTTGGAGTAACATTAAACAATATGTAGGTAGCATACCTGACATTAATAAATAACATTAAATCAATTTGAAACACAGCAGCTTCTATTAATGGACACCACAGCTGGATGAGACAGAGGAGCAGCTGGAAACCATGAAGAATTACTGTTCTCAGCCCTTTCCATGTTGACTTTTTATTCTCTCCTGATGCAGCTTTGGCCACTTTCATTATTTTAACATACGAGAATACAATGATGATACACATGATCAAGAAGTAAAACTGACTAACAGCTGACCTAAGATGATCATGCCACCTGTACAACATGAACATCTCCACAGAACATACCTTGGATTGTTTGTACACGCTAAGAGATGCTGATGCAAAGAAGGCAGAGAGAATAACAATGCAGCGTACAGAGCTGAGGCCGTGAATGATGAGGATGCAATGTATAGTGCTGCGAGTGGAGCACAGCTCTGCATGCCGCAGGGGCATGCAAATAGCCACAAAGCGCTCCAGAGTCATTGCTGTCAGAGTAACTGGTGTGACTATTACATACAGAAGTACCACAACAGAGATAATGATACATAACCAAACTTGTATAGTAAAATTAAAGTGGTTCATTATTAGCAGAATATTAGACATGAGCAATATAAAGCTATCAGACAGAAGTGTAACAGCAAATAAGATGTAGCGTGCAGTTGTGTAGAAGCACTCCTTCCTGAAAAAGGTTACAATGAGCAAAAGGTTGATGCAAAGAAATATAATCACCAGGATCTGCACAATAATGACTTTGTCATTGATCTGCTTAAGTGAGACCTCACCACCAGCCGATGAGTTGTTATCAGCCATCACTTTTCTAAACAAATATACAGATTATTGAGGTTCTTCCAAGTGTTAAATTATTATTATTAAATGTCTCAGTGAAAAGAAAATTAGATTCCTATCACAAAAAGACAAAACCCTTCCCTGCAGTAGCATAGCGTTGTGGCACACATTTCCAAAGACAGATGTTGTCTGTAGAGGTCTTTGCAGTGTTCTGAGTGAGGGCTGCACAATTATATTTTATAGGAGCGACTAGAACACATGTAGAGTGAGGGCAAATTAAACTTTGCTCACCACAGTGTCATCATTGCCTCTTTCTGCAAGTCTCCCTGAGTGACTATCACTAGACACATCCAGGCTGTAGGTTAATGTCAACTTTATTATCCCAAGTAGGGAAATTAGGCTGGTCAAGGTGAAGAAGTACAATATTCAGTCATTGTCAGGCTATTGAATTAATACCTGTTGCTTCTTGTTCTCTTCTCTCAATAATTCCAGTGAGGCTACACAGGCATCTATAGAAATGTAAAATAATGTAGATTTGGACATAAGGGCTTGGTGGATTGTTGGGACTAACTCTTGTGTTGGTTGTCCAGGTATATATGGACAAGGTTTGAGTTTTTTACGATAGATTGTCCATTCTGGGCCCTTACAGATTCTGTACATGGGACTCTCAGGATTCATGAATAAAGAACTTTATTGTCATTGTGCAAGCACAACAAAATTGCAATGGCATCAACCTCAAATGGTGCAATTCTGTTTAAGAATCATACATATTTCTAAAGAATAAATGAGACAGGAAGCCATAAAAACTACAGAATCTAAGCAATTTGAGTACAAAATATAAGTAATGTAAAATTTTAAAAACAATTAACAATTGAAGCGGCAAGCAGCGTTAAATGAAGTTTCATAATTTTCAGAAGTATGAGACACTGTGTTAATGAATAAAATATTATTTCCTGTGTGGAGTATGTGGCGTTGGAGCAAGACATGTTGGAAATGTTGTATAGATGTGGTTAACTATGTGTTACCTAGGCTTCACTTCCTGTTGCCAGTAGGGCAATTAAAGTAAATTATTAAAGTAGCAATATATTTACTGGAGGTTGACTGACATTTAATAATTATTGGACACTGCATGAAGAAGTTAAATATCATTTCCTGTGTCCCCTATGTTATATTACATATAACTTAACAGGGTCCGAGTTTGACCAGTTGCCATTTGCTGCATGTCATCCTCTCTCTCTCTTCCCCCTTTCCTGTCACTCTGCAGCTGTCCTATCTAATGAAGGCAAAAGCTCCCAAAAAATATCAAACAACAGCAACAATGTGTTGTTAATTTATGAATCCAACAGAAAAAAAAACAAATAACAACTTATTTTTCACACTTTACATTTTATGCTCAAATCCAAAATAGGAAATTAAGAAAACTGGCCACGGATTGAAATTGATTTTGATTTTTAATGTGTCCGATTTGTGTGACCAGGAAGTTGCTGACTCATTGTGTTTTTCACTTGATAAACTCACATGAAGTAAATTCACTTGGGCCATGGCGGTAGTTAATTTAAGGTATGAATTTGAAGTTGAACATCAGCATACATGTTTTCTATTTTGGAAAATAAAAAAACAAGGCTCGATTGGTAGTACACAGTCTAACTTGCTGTATGCGTATACTTGGATAGGAACAGGAACACTTCAGAACTTACTTGAGAATCCTCCAGTTTTTATGATATCTTCAATATCACAGTAGTTCAGTGATAGTTGTCAGTACATCCAATAGTACACAGCAAAGAATTGTTAATTGGGCCAACTTAATTTTCCAAAATGTAAACAACACAACACTTAAATTTATGTCCAAGTTCATATTCATTACATCAGGTAGCGCCATCACAAAGATGTCAGTAACCTACCTTCCTGGTCACACAAATCAGAGGGATTAATTATCAAAAATCTAATTAAATCCATGACTCATTATTTTTAATTTGGGCATAAAATAAAAAAGCAAATTTTTATTTTCCGATTTTGGATTCTATATTGAATATAAAAAGAACAAATTAATTCAGGCATTCAGACATATATTATCTTTAATTTGTGCATTGTACAATTTGTCTGTTAGTAAATTATTACTCTACCTTGAAGAATGTTTTTTCTACAATCCAGAGAAGGCATAGTTTTTCAGTGCACGAAAAAAAATTTCATCTCTGAGCCCATAAATAAGAGGACTCAGACATCTTGGAGTAAGACGAAAGAATATGTAGTTAAAGTACCTGACATTCATAAATAACCTTAAATTAATATGAAACAAAGCAGTTTCTATGAATGGGCACCACAGCTGGATGAGACAGAGGAGCAGCTGGAAACCATGAAGAATTACTGTTCTCAGCCCTTTCCATGTTGACTTTTTATTCTCTCCTGATGCAGCTTTGGCCACTTTCATTATTTTAACATACGAGAATACAATGATGATACACATGATCAAGAAGTAAAACTGACTAACAGCTGACCTAAGATGATCGTGCCACCTGTACAACATGAACATCTCCACAGAACATACCTTATGTTGTTTGTACATGCTAAGAGATGCTGATGCAAAGAAGGCGGAGAGAATAACAATGCAGGGTACAGAGCTGAGGCCGTGAATGATGAGGATGCATTGTAAAGTGCTGCGAGTGGAGCACAGCTCTGCATGCCGCAGGGGCATGCAAATAGCCACAAAGCGCTCCAGAGTCATTGCTGTCAGAGTAATTGGTGTGATGTTGTAGTACAGAAGTACCACAACAGAGATAATGATACATAACCAAACTTCTATGGTGAAATTAAAGTGGTTCATTATTAGCAGAATATTAGACATGAGCAATATAAAGCTATCAGACAGAAGTGTAACAGCAAATAAGATGTAGCGTGCAGTTGTGTAGAAGCACTCCTTCCTGAAAAAGGTTACAATGAGCAAAAAGTTGATGCAAAGAAATATCATCACCAGGATCTGCACAATAATGACTTTGTCATTGATCTGCTTCAGTGAGACCTCACCACCAAACGATGAGTTGTTATCAGCCATCACTTTTCTAAACAAATATACAGATTATTGAGGTACTTCCAAGTGTTAAATTATTATTATTAAATGTCTCAGTGAAAAGAAAATTAGATTCCTATCACAAAAAGACAAAACCCTTCCCTGCAGTAGCATAGCGTTGTGGCACACATTTCCAAAGACAGATGTTGTCTGTAGAGGTCTTTGCAGTGTTCTGAGTGAGGGCTGCACAATAATATTTTATAGGAGCGACTAGAACACATGTAGAGTGAGGGCAAATTAAACTTTGCTCACCACAGTGTCATCATTGCCTCTTTCTGCAAGTCTCCCTGAGTGACTATCACTAGACACATCCAGGCTGTTGGTTAATGTCAACTTTATTATCCCAAGTAGGGAAATTAGGCTGGTCAAGGTGAAGAAGTACAATATTCAGTCATTGTCAGGCTATTGAATTAATACCTGTTGCTTCTTGTTCTCTTCTCTCAATAATTCCAGTGAGGCTACACAGGCATCTATAGAAATGTAAAATAATGTAGATTTGGACATAAGGGCTTGGTGGATTGTTGGGACTAACTCTTGTGTTGGTTGTCCAGGTATATATGGACAAGGTTTGAGTTTTTTACGATAGATTGTCCATTCTGGGCCCTTACAGATTCTGTACATGGGACTCTCAGGATTCATGAATAAAGAACTTTATTGTCATTGTGCAAGCACAACAAAATTGCAATGGCATCAACCTCAAATGGTGCAATTCTGTTTAAGAATCATACATATTTCTAAAGAATAAATGAGACAGGAAGCCATAAAAACTACAGAATCTAAGCAATTTGAGTACAAAATATAAGTAATGTAACATTTTAAAAACAATAAACAATTGAAGAGGCAAGCAGCGTTAAATGAATTTTCATAATTTTCAGTAGTATGAGACACTGTGTTAATGAATAAAATATTATTTCCTGTGTGGAGTATGTGGCGCTGGAGCAAGACATGTTGGAAATGTTGTATAGATGTGATTAACTATGTGTTACCTAGGCTTCACTTCCTGTTGCCAGTAGGGCAATTAAAGTAAATTATTAAAGTAGCAATATATTTACTGGAGGTTGACTGACATTTAATAATTATTGGACACTGTATGAAGAAGTTAAATATCATTTCCTGTGTCCCCTATGTTATATTACTTATAACTTAACAGGGTCCGAGTTTGACCAGTTGCCATTTGCTGCATGTCATCCTCTCTCTCTCTTCCCCCTTTCCTGTCACTCTGCAGCTGTCCTATCTAATGAAGGCAAAAGCTCCCAAAAAATATCAAACAACAGCAACAATGTGTTGTTAATTTATGAATCCAACAGAAAAAAAAACAAATAACAACTTATTTTTCACACTTTACATTTTATGCTCAAATCCAAAATAGGAAATTAAGAAAACTGGCCACGGATTGAAATTGATTTTGATTTTTAATGTGTCCGATTTGTGTGACCAGGAAGTTGCTGACTCATTGTGTTTTTCACTTGATAAACTCACATGAAGTAAATTCACTTGGGCCATGGCGGTAGCTAATTTAAGGTATGAATTTGAAGTTGAACATCAGCATACATGTTTTCTATTTTGGAAAATAAAAAAACAAGGCTCGATTGGTAGTACACAGTCTAACTTGCTGTATGCGTATACTTGGATAGGAACAGGAACACTTCAGAACTTACTTGAGAATCCTCCAGTTTTTATGATATCTTCAATATCACAGTAGTTCAGTGATAGTTGTCAGTACATCCAATAGTACACAGCAAAGAATTGTTAAGTGGGCCAACTTAATTTTCCAAAATGTAAACAACACAACACTTAAATTTATGTCCAAGTTCATATTCATTACATCAGGTAGCGCAATGGCAAAGATGTCAGTAACCTACCTTCCTGGTCACACAAATCTAATTAAATCCATGACTCATTATTTTTAATTTGGACATAAAATAAAATAGCAAATGGCTTTTTCATTTTCCGATTTTGGATTCTATATTGAATATAAAAAGAACAAATTAATTCAGGCATTCAGACATATATTATCTTTAATTCGTGCATTGTACAATTTGTCTGTTAGTAAATTATTACTCTTCCTTGAAGAATGTTTTTTCTACAAGCCAGAGAAGGCATAGTTTTTCAGTGCACAAAAAAAAATGTCATCTCTGAGCCCATAAATAAGAGGACTCAGACATCTTGGAGTAACACTAAACAATATGTAGTTAAAGTACCTGACATTCATAAATAACCTTAAATTAATCTGAAACAAAGCAGTTTCTATGAATGGGCACCACAGCTGGATGAGACAGAGGAGCAGCTGGAAACCATGAAGAATTACTGTTCTCAGCCCTTTCCATGTTGACTTTTTATTCTCTCCTTATGCAGCTTTGGCCACTTTCATTATTTTAACATACGAGAATACAATGATGATACACATGATCAAGAAGTAAAACTGACTAACAGCTGACCTAAGATGATCGTGCCACCTGTACAACATGAACATCTCCACAGAACATACCTTATAGTGTTTGTACATGCTAAGAGATGCTGATGCAAAGAAGGCGGAGAGAATAACAATGCAGGGTACAGAGCTGAGGCCGTGAATGATGAGGATGCAATGTAAAGTGCTGCGAGTGGAGCACAGCTCTGCATGCCGCAGGGGCATGCAAATGGCCACAAAGCGCTCCAGAGTCATTGCTGTCAGAGCAACTGGTGTGACGTTAAAATACAAAAGTACCACAACAGAGATAATGATACATAACCAAACTTGTATGGTAAAATTAAAGTAGTTCATTATTAGCAGAATATTAGACATGAGCAATATAAAGCTATCAGACAGAAGTGTAACAGCAAATAAGATGTAGCGTGCAGTTGTGTAGAAGCACTCCTTTCTGAAAAAGGTTACAATGAGCAAAAAGTTGATGCAAAGAAATATAATCACCAGGATCTGCACAATAATGACTTTGTCATTGATCTGCATCAGTGAGACCTCACCACCAACAGATGAGTTGTTATCAGCCATCACTTTTTAAACAAATACACAGATTATTGAGGTACTTCCAAGTGTTAAATTCTTAATTTCTCTGTTAAATGTCTCAGTAAAAAGAAAATGAGACTCCTATCACAAAAAGACCAAACCCTTCCCTGCAATAGCATAGCGTTGTTGCACACATTTTCCAACAACAGATGTTTGTCTGTAAACGTCTTTGTCGTGTTCTGAGCGAGGGCTGTGCATGAATATTTTATAGGAGCGACTAGAGTACATGCAGAGTAACAGCTAATTACATTTTTCTCACCACAGTGTCCTCATTGCCACTTCCTGCAAGTCTCCGTCAGCGGGAGATTAGCAGCAAGCAAATCTGGATTGTACCCCAAGGCCACGATCAACGTAAACTTTATTATCCCAAATAGGGGAATTAAGTTTGTCAACAGTAAGTACAGAAGTAAACAAGACAATCATAAAAACAGGTGTTAATCCACATATATAATCTGCAGTCCCCCCTCACACACACACACACACACACACACACACACACACAAACACACACACACACAGCATTCCAAGCAAATCAAATTTTATTTTAATTAATTAATACTAAAAGAGGTACTGCATGCCAAAAATGTGTTTTTTGAGTTGTGAACTTAATTTTATGACTATTCTGTGATTAAACACATCAATGCCGCCGTTAAAATTGTCATTATTACTAAATTTATGAAAATCTGAAGGCTCAGGCTCTCATTTTGGGAATGCAGTGTTCTAGTGGGGTAATAAGGTACTATGAGCTCTAGGTTGTAATGGTACTGACCACGATGGGCTTTGTAGGTGAGGAAAAAAATTTTAAATTCTATTTTTTTATAGATACTTTCTACAGCATTCTGGATCAATTGGATCTTAAGGGACTTATTGAGGCAGCCTGATACATTACCAGAATCTAGTGCCAAAGTAAAAGTGCATGGATTAGTTTGTCTCCTTTTGTTCGTGACAAGATGTACAATGTTACGTAGGTGAAAAAACCCAGTCCTTGTTTGTTTTAAGTAGGATTTAAAGGACATGATTACACAATGTGTTTTGGAGTTGTTTGAGGCCAAGTACAGGAACAGTTTTGTTCGAGTTTAACGTCATAAAATTCATCCAGGTTTTCCTGTACTTAAGGTAAGCTTGAAGTTTAGTTGATTGGTTTCATCTGGCTTGATTAATAGATATAATTGGGTATCATCTGCATAACAATGAAAGTTGCAGGATGGATGAGCTAATTGATTACTTAAGGTCATGGCATAGGCCTAAGGAAGACATACAGTGAACGGAACAGGTGAAGGTAGTTTATATAGGAAATGCTTGATTTTCACAAATCACACATTAACATTAAAAATGTTTGCAAAAGCATTGTAAATAAATATTTGTTGCTGTATATGCAGGTTGTTCATTATAATAATTTAAAACATTTGGCCAAATAATTCTCAAAACATTGCTTCTTTAGATTGATTCCAGTGCCATACACCTCATGACAGAGAATTATCTTACACCCTATGGTGATCGATTTGCTGTTTGTGGATACTGCAGACGGAAGGGAAAAAGGACTAAACAGGTGCAAGTCAAAGGTCTTTGAGTGACTTAGAGGAAAGCACTCAAGAAGCAAAGGTGATCATATGTCTGAGAGAGCATCAAACCCCTCTAAAAGAACCAGAGTGACCTTTATCAGCAGTGGGGAAATAGCTTCCTTTGCCTACGTCATGATTTTGGTAAAGAATGGGAAAGTGTAAGCCAAATAATCACATTTTACCTTTCTGTAAACCTTGCATCTGTTCTTCTGAAACCAGCTATTTTGGGCTTTGCGGAGAGTGATCTTTTGAGAGTCTGAGCAAGTGATCTTTGAATCTTCTCATTCAGATTGTTAAGGTTTTGATATCCACAACTTCCAGAGGCTTCCAACAGCAGATAACGTTGACGAAATCTTGAAGTAGCTTACTCAAGAAAAACTGATTCAAGAGCCTGCTTTTGTGATTGAACAGTGGAACAACAGACTTGGGGCTGAGTCTCTTCAGCTTTATCTTATCATGCATCAAGACTCCTTCAACTACTCAGCCCTTCCACCTCCACTTTTCTTTTACTTTTGGCATTACTGTGTTTTTTGTTTTTGTTGTTTGTGACCCTGACTGCAAATCAAGTTTTCCATTTGGGATAATATACATAACTGATCTGAACTGAACTGAACTGGGCCTCATCTGGTGTAGAGAAAGTCCGCCACTGGTTATTACGAGTGATTCGGGAGGCACGCCGGTTAGAGGATACCATATTGGACCCCCCTCCAAGTCATCCTGCCTGGTCGCTGGTAGTTGTGAGTGGTGGAATCGGGTCAACACTGATGCCTCCAGGTTGAATGCTTTATGCCTTTGCTGTTGTTGGCCAGCATAGAAAAATCTTGAGCTGGTAGCTGAGACCCAGGAGGCTGGGGCAGCCCACAACAGCTGATGGCTTATACTCCATGTAGGCTATGCACCATAGCTTGTACTGACAACTTACTGCTAATCTTTTCCAAATAGCCTTAAGCTACCAAGCTCCTCTCCTGTGGAACCAGCTTCCAGTTTCAGTTCAAGAGGCAGACACCCTTTACACATTTAAGAGCTATTTATGTATACATTTAAGAGCTTATGAAGTTCCTCTTTTATATAGCTTATAGTTAGAGCTGAATCAGGTAAGTCCTGAACCATAAGTCATTAGTCATTATTATTCATAATTCCCCATTGTTGTGGCTATTGTCATTGTTGTCATCATCGCCGTAATCATCATCATCATCATTACAAGTCATTTTTATTAGTATAGTTGTTGCTATAATTGTTGCTGAGCACCTTTATCTCTGTCTCTGTCCTTCTCTCTTTACCTCTAATTTAATTAGAGGTACAGTCTAGACCTACTCTATTTGAAAAGTGTCCTGAGATATCTTTTGTTATGAATTGGCGCTATACGAATAAAATAAAATTGAATTGAATTGAATTGAATTATAAACAATATAAATATATGTTAAATTATTTGATTTTGATAAACGATTAAATATGCATCTCATGTTTGCCAACCGTGTTCAGCTTTAGGCTCAATTCCCCCAATTTACCCCCACGATGAAATCTGCCCATCCACCATATTTATTAGAAACAGTATCATTGCTGTTTGTGATTGTATTTTTTTAATTATGTACTTTCACATATTTGTCAGTTGTGTCTAAACAGAGAGCAGGCACACATAGGCAGAAAAGAGAGAAACCACTCATTGCGATGATCGAAAGATGGTCCTTTTTTTTGCTGTACATTTGGTTAGAAAAGAGCAGAGGAGCAGAATCAATTGTTGATGAGCGCAGAGTAATGTGCCATATTGACCTGTCAACAGTGCAGAGTATGATGTTCCACAACTCAGGTTTATGTGTAGTTATTATTCACACAACTGTGATTTTCCTGAACAAAAGCCATCACATATTGCACGTTGACCTTGCAGCAGATGTTCATTGAATGCAATATTACACTCATAATCAAAGTTGGTTAATTGGGTCAGACAATAACAACAATGATCCAGCAAATCCTAAAACAAACAATCCACAATGATGTATCAGATCATGACACTAATTTGTCAAACAAAACCAATCTGCATATTGCTTTTTACGCAATGAAATCCAAGTTTGATATTGTATTTTAATGCAAGAGAAAACTTTTCATCTCTGAGGCCATAAATGAGAGGACTCAGACATCTAGGAGCTAGAATAAATGTTATGTAATTAAAGTACCTGACATGAACATATAACATTAAATCAATCTTAAGCAGTGCAACTTCTATAAATGGGCACCACAGCTGGACAAGACAGAGGAAGAGCTGGAAAGCATGAAGGACTACTGTTCTTAGCCCTTTTGTTGACTTTTTATCTTCTCCTGATGCAGCTTTGGCAACCTTCATTATTTCAATATAAGAGAAAATGATGGTAATCGCCATGATTAAGAAGTAGCACTGATATACAGCTAATTTAACATGATTCTGCCATTGGAGAAAGACAAACATATCCATGGAGCATTTCCTGTATTGCATATACAAGCTATGAGAGGCTGTTGCAACAAATGTAGAGACAATAACAATGCAGGGTACAGAGCTGAGGCTGTGAATGATGAAGATAGAGTGCAGAGACCTGCGTATGGAGCACAGCTCTGCATGGCGCAGGGGCATGCATATGGCCACGTAGCGCTCCAGTGTCATTGCTGTCAGAGTAACTGGTGTGACAAAAGTGCATAACACAGAAATAATATAGAAAACAACACATAAGCCAACTTGCATAGTGTATTGAAAATAGCTCAAAATTAGCAGGATATCAGATATAATTAATATTATGCTATCAGACAGTAGTGTAACAGCAAATAAGATGTAGCGCATTGTTGTGTAGAAGAACTCTTTTGAAAAAAAAGTCACAATCAGCAACAAGTTGATGCAAATGAAAATGACCACCAGTACCTGCACTATAATGACCTGGTAATTGATCTGACGCTGCAAGGACTCACCACCTGCTATTGAGTTGTTAAGTGCCATACTAAATAAAGTGTTTTAAGACATACCATCTGATATTAAAATAAGATGACAGCCCTATTACATTTATAACCAAATCCAATCTCAAACCATCTCTGAACACGTTACGTGTTACCTGCATTGTGGCACACAGTCTCCTCTAGTGCTGAGCTGTGTGCAGGCTTCCGGTCTGTGTATGGACACTTTATAGGATTGACTGGAACGTGCTTTCTCATTCTGAATGGGTCTCGGGAGTGTGACGTCTGACTTTTATTTTTGACAGAAAAGCTTCCCCAAAATGTCTGTTAACTAAAAACAGCCAATTTTTAAAGCACATTTTACACATTAATTCAGTTATGATGTTAATTTTATGCATAGTCTGTTAAAGTCTGTTTTATTATCTATAAATAGATGTTAGATACATCGAATGCTGTAGAGTCTCTGAGTGAACTCAATATTTCTCCCAAATTAGTTTTTGGACAAAATTATTATAGAACAGCTATTTCTTTTCAAGTGATAGATCCATGTTGTGCAGGTCAGGTTGGTGGATACACAAGAACAGCTTGTGTCTTATAACAGACTTTCAGTAAATATTAACTGTAAACGCAATATTTTTCCCAAATCCTTACCAAGACTTTAATTTAACCCTTGTATGGTATTCGGGTCATTTGACACATTTCAAATTTTTACAAGACGAAAACTTAATGCCCTTATTTTCTCGCACTATATGCCTCGCACCTGCACATCTAGGAGGTGGGACAAAAGAGATAATTAATATATATATATATTATATTATATAATGATAGTATTTTGATTCTGAAAGTGAATTTAAAGATGGCCTTAACTAATAATAATATGTACCACAAGGAGCACAGGCGACTGCTGGAGCAGCCCAAAAGCCAGCCACTGGAAGAGCCCCACAGACATATTTGTCTAAGAATGGACAGATTGGATGGTCTTCATTCATTTTTTCCAAGATAGGCATGATTTATGACAAGTCTTGAGTATAGTGGATTTTTTATCAATTATAACCTCATGACAAAAAAAATGCAATTCCAATGTTAATTGTGTTCTAGTAGAGACTGATTGCAATCATTAAACATATATTTTATCTTAATTGTTTGAAATTGAGATAAAGATAATATATGTTAATGGTTTATATTGGTTAACATTAGCAAATCAACACTAAACACAAAGTGCAGCTGCCTGGTAGAAAATGTACAACTCATACAGCAACGGATAAGATAAGATAAGAAAACCTTTATTTGTCCCGCAATGGGAAAATTGTAGTTTGCAACAGCATACAGAAAGGGCAGAATAAAAAATAACAAGAGCTTTATAGGGGCAACTATAACACAAGGGGAATACCAAATCCAACCTTGCCCACCACAATGTCGTCAACAACACACCTCACAGGTGATAGTAACTATAGTTACTCACTTGACTGTGATTAAAACTACTCATAACCAGTGTTGGGCAGTAACTCATTACAAGTAATTATATTACATTAACAATATTACTGTACCCTGAAAATAGTAGTGTAACTAATTAATGTAATAATATTATTACTACTATACTATTACGGTTATCCCCCCCAAAATTTTGCTTTTGTTGCCCCCGTCTACTGAATTGTGAAAGAAACTTGTTTGAAAGATGGAAAAATATTCTCATTACTTTGATTTTAACAAACAAAACTGGATTTTAATTGTTGTGAGTCTGAATTTTGAGGAGAAAGGGCACAATGACAAAATTAGCAGAAAATAAATATAACAGTATAACTAGTAGTGCAACTAATAACTGCTGGCAGGGAGTAATAAATAAAGTGATAATATTACTTTTAAAGGAGTAATGAGTAATAAAGATTTTTTTTTGAGTAGCCAAACACTGCTCATTCCTCCTCCTTTTGCACATGTCAGGTTTGTAGGTTGAAGTATGAAGGCAAATTTTAGGGTCGAGGTTATGTGTTATACAACCAAATGCAAAAATGTTAATAAATGTCCCAAATGGACATCTTGATGGAAATATGTGGTTCTCTAGCTGCTAAATGCACCACTATGTTAGCCAGATGCCAATTGCGCCTGATGCTGAGCAGGTATAGGGCTTTTCCATTGGTACTTTGTACTGTGCCGCCCTGACCATCCTACTAGCAGGGTGCGGTAACGTCATGCCGACTACCACCAACATGTGACCTCCCCCTCAAACAAACTTGTGTTCAGAGACTCAACTTGTGTCTGTCCAGAAGACATTTTTAAAAGTTCAACTCTCATTGCTTTTGAAACTTCTAATTGAATCTCTTTGAATTTTAGTTTCTCTCCTGCGTCCCTGTTTGCTGCTGACGAAGATCCAGCATTTCCTTGATTTTGCTGCTTCATAATAAAAGCATTTAAAAAACAAAATGACCAGCGACTATTGTTGTGAAGATTTTATAGGGAATGAAATGTGTTTATCACCAAATAACTGGAGTTTAGTTAGCGGCCAATAATCAATAAAAAACAAGTCTACATATGGCAGGGAGGAAGGTGGGCCTGTTTATTTGTTTATTTGTAGATCGTAACCACCATTTATTTATTTGAGTCACTGCTTCGTTCTTGCTAACAGCGGTCCCTCTCTTCATTCAATCTTGAACTCCCTCAATCATTGTGGCACTTTGCTGGTGCTGGTCAAACTGAGTCAAGCCAAGCAAGCACATGTGTATGGAAAAGGGCTAGAAGTCTACAGTGTGTTCTTTTGGCTTTTTTACTGAAAACAGCTGCCTGCTGCGTCCAAAAACAACGCTGATGACAGCGGTGTGAGTGAACCACGACGGAAAACGAAACAATGAGCTGAAACTCACTATAAAGCTCAGTAAGGCGAAGAAGAACTGCAGATTCTGGTAATAATTCTCTGTAGGTTAATCACCCTGAGTGACCATTATCACATTGGTTTCACATTGTCATTTGATACGTTGTTGTTCTGAAAATATTGATTACTGTCACTTTGAAGTTCAGACAAAGGGATGGAATACTAAGGCAACTACATGGTCCATTGGGACACCCGGACACCCCAGATTAGGTAATCATTTTAACATTTGCTGTTTTCCCCTCTTAGCATTTATGATAAAACAGTTTGCTTACAACTTTTTGTTTGTCTGAAAATGGGTTTCTTGCCCTGCTGACGTTTGAAACATCCCCAGATACTACCAATGAAGTTGGTGAGTAAAAAGTCACCAAAATAAAGTAAATAATTAAAGTAAGACCCAGGTAATATGAATCTATGACTATGAATTTATCAGTAAACGTTTGGATTGTTCTTAGTGTATGTCATTGGTACTCAGCAACCAGCAGCAGCTTACACAGACATGTCATGAGGGGATAGTGCACTGATGGTAGCACTATGTAGTCATGGTTTGTTTTTCTCCATGTGGATTTAGATTGCAGACAGAGTGGCAATGCTAATTAGCCAATTATTTCTATTCTTGTATAGGGAACAAACTCACTGATGCTGACGGTTAACTGAATTATTAATTATGTAAACCATCTTCTCCAAATTTCTGATTCAAAATTGATGAAATAACAGTTAAATAGTTTTCTTTTTGTGCAGCACTTTGGAAACCTTGTGTTTGTTAAAATCGTGCTATATAAATAAAGTGGATTGGATTGGATAGTTTTAATAGTTGTGAAACTACCAGCAATCCAAATCACCAACAACCAAAGTCAGAAATCTTCAAACCCTACATATAGCACATTTAAGTGTGCTATTCAGTTTTTTTTTTTTTAATTTTCAGTTTCATTTGAGTGTTTCTTAGAGAGGAAAAGCCCAACATTATATTTCCTGTGTCCAGGAGAGTTGTTAATCTCCTGGCCTACCTGAATCTACCTGGATGGTGCAAACCTGATTTCAGAGGAATCATTAATGTGTTCTGGAAGCTTTTGGCCAGAAATGGCGTAGCTCCTGACACTAACTTGCAGAGATGGTACTTGAGGAACATGTCCATATTGGAACAACTGCTTATTCACATTTTTGGATGAAGCTACATCCCAGTTACACAAGGACCTAACTAGCATGCTATCATTGTGCTAAGATAACCAGCATACCGCCTGAGCCACCAACTTGACCGGATGACAAATGGCATGTTTGGGCCAAGTGGCATGCTAAGCTTACTAACACACACAATAGTTGGTAGTCAGAATTCAAGATAAATCGCAGGATTTTATAACAATAGTGGCTAAAAATCTGTTTTTAATATGAATTGACACATCTGCCCACTTAACATTGTCAGTTTTGGGGCCTTGTCTGTGCTGAAGACACACGTCATATCCTTATAGACTGAGTTTTAAAAGAAAATCCAGCTTCAATTGGGGCTTGAATTGTCTTTGTGCAATCAACATTTATTTTAAACAAGTACAAAAGCAAACCATAGCATTACAAAGCAAAATTACAAAAAGCATTATTAATACAGCCGTAAACAAAGACATTCCTTCTATAACCCTCTAATGGTTTTTCAACCTCACCTGCACACATTTGCTTCTTTGCTTTTGTTGTTGTGGTTCTGCTGTTTTGTTTTAATGTGCAAATAAATACATCTAAATCTAAATATGAATTATTATCATATGCAACAGTAAGGTATAGTAATTTGAGAGTAGATCATTAAAAAAATTGCTTTCTGTAGCAGAATTAGGGCTGTAAGTTCTTATCCAAGCCGCAGAGAACAAAGTATTTCAGTGCATTAAAGAACTTTTCATCTCTGAGGCCATAAATAAGAGGACTCAGGCATCTTGGAGCAAGAATAAAAGTAATGTAGTTAAAGTACCTGACATTAATGTATAACATAAAATCAATTTTAAGTACAGCACCTTCGATGAATGGGTTAAACAGCTGGATGAGACAGAGGAGCAGCTGGAAACCATGAAGAATTACTGTTCTCAGCCCTTTCCATGTTGACTTTTTATTCTCTCCTGATGCAGCTTTTGCCACTTTCATTATTTTAACATATGAGAATACAATGATGATACACATGATCAAGAAGTAAAACTGACTTATAGCTGACCTAAGATGATCCTGCCAACTGTGAAATATGAACATCTCCACAGAGCAGACCTTGTATTCTTTGTAGAAGCTAAGGGAGGCTGATGCAAAGAAGATTAAGAGGACCACAATGGTGGGTACAGAGCTGAGGCTGTGAATGATGAGGATACAGTGCAGAGACCTGCGTGTGGAGCACATCTCTGAATGTTGCAGGGGCATGCAAATGGCCACATAGCGCTCCAGGGTCATTGCAGTCAGAGTAACTGGTGTGACAAAAGTGTACACAGATGATAAAATGTAGAAAATGAGACACAACCACATTTGCATGGTCAAATGAAAATAGTCAAAGATGAGCAAGAAATTGGTTAATATCAAGATCAGACAGTCCGACAGTAATGTATTAGCAAATAAGATGTAGCGCATGGTTGTATAGAAGAACTCCTTCATAAAAAAGGTTGTGATTAGCATTAAGTTTATGCAAAGGAAAAGTGATACAAAAACCTGAACTAAAATGACTCTGTAATTAGTGCTTCGCATTAGGGATTCACCACCAACCAATGAGTTGTTGTTAGTCATATTTTTCTCTGGTTTTAAAGGTTTTAATCTCTGCCAACTTTCCTGTGGTGATTTGGTCAAATAAGTTCAATATGAAAGATCTCACAGCTGCAACTGGTAGAATTTGCATTGACTAAAACAACTTTACACACCCTTAGCATGTGACATAAATGTACAATAAATCACAGACAGAAACACATCAACAGGTCAAAGGGCATAAGCTTACTAAACCATCCCTGCAACACAGCATTGTGGCACCAAGTTCCATAGACAGATGTCTTCTGTTGAGCTGCATGCAGCCTTCTGAGAGATGATCGTGTATGAAGACTTTATAGGAGCAGCAATAACACAAGGGGGACACCAAATGAAAGTTTACCTACACAATTTTGTCATCGTCTGCTAACACACTTCCTATGTTGTAACTAGACAGCACCTATTCAACCAAACTGTATAAATATGTGAGTAAAGGGGACATTTGTTGGCTGATTGAGAAAGGCCTCATGCCTTGTGACTTAAGGTCTCTAAATGTGTAGTATCTAACTGATAAATAAATTTTACTATGTGGCTAGTAGAAAATGTACTAACATTTTCAGAGGATACAAAGTAAAATGTACCAAAAGTTGGGTGAACATTCCTATGGAACCCAGTTTCATGTTAAAGGTGTAGTGCGTAGCATGAAATGAAAACATACCTATGAAGTATTAGTATTCAATACACCCAAAGATTCTCACATCACCATGGATGGCAGCCATAGATCAGCCCATCTGCACTTTGTGTGTCAGTACCTGAGTTAGATGAGTTTTAATGACACTTCATTCTTATGAGTGATTTAAATTGGGACCTGCTCTCCTGTGACTCAATTGTGTTACAGAATGTTTGCTCCTGTTCTGCAGCATTCTGACCATCTAGCTACTAAAGTAAAAAAATTCCACCTTGCTGATTTAATTAATACACCCACAATACACCTTAAAAAACCCTCAAAACCACTGCATTTTAAAATTAAACCTTTGAAGTCTGTCCTTTCAAAAAACTAACATTTAGTAAGGCAGTCCAAACATGTATTTAACTAAAGGTTTAGTGTCCCCCAGGCTGTTCCATTTTTTTTAAATTTTTTTTTAGAAAGCGGGCTTGGTTTTTTAGGAAAAGGGCTTTTTTTTATTTTTTTTGAAAAAAATAAATGGTTCCCCCAGTGCATTTGAGACCTATTTGTTTCTACATTTTCATAAATGATTTCGCTAAGGACATACAAGCAAAAATACACTTTTATGCCGATGACACTGTAATTTACACAGCTGGTCCCTCCATAGGACAGGCGGTGCAAGAGCTTCAGATTTCATTTCAGTCATTACAAACTTCCCTGCTAAGTCTAAAATTGGTTTTAAATGCTCAGAAGACAAAGTTTATGGTTAAAATTAAATCATGCTTTACACTTAGTACCAGAAAAGAAACTTGTGGAATCTTAATAAACTTTTTGGTCTGTGATTTATTACGGTGATATATTGTATATGCATGCTGCTTCCTACATTTTACGGAGCCTTGATTCAGGGTACCATGCATCTCTATGCTTCATTTCAAATTCAAAGTAATGGTAAATGGACCTGTACTTGTATAGCCTTCCTAGTCTTCTGACCACTCAAAGCGCTTTTACACTACATGCCATATTCGCCCATTTGCACACACATTCACACAGCAATGGCAAACAGAAACTAACGCAGTTCAGCATCTTGCTCAAGGATGCTTCGACATGTGGCAGGAGGAGCTGGGGATCGAACCAACAACATTCCGATTAGGGAACGACCCGCTCTGCTTCTGCACCACAGCTGCCCAAGTCCCTTGCTCACCATTGCATCCTTTATGATTTGGTGAGTTGAACATCATTGAACATTCACAGGGAACAGCACTTGTACATTTTTATCTATAATGCGATACTGGGTAAACTTCCAGCATATCTCTGTAACCTGCTCTGTCTCACCTCTGGTAGTTACCAGCTACGTTCTTCTAAGTGGTTGCTTTTTAATGTACCCCGGGTTCTGACAGATCTGGGGAAGACTGCATATTCTCACAATGCACCTTGGGCATAGAATAATCTGCAAAAAGATCTAAAATTAGACAGTTATATCCATTGATAAATTCAAGCGCATCATAAAGAATACGGTGTACCTGTAAAGCAATGGTTCTCAACCTGGGGTGTAAGAAAACTTTTGACACAAAAGGGCTATATGTCAGCATTTTGTTCAATTGAAAATTGTATAAAAAAATTGCTAAAAATATCAGGAAAATTCATCTCTGATGCAATATCCTGTTACATTAAACAGAGGAACCCAAAAGCAGACCACAAACTCAGTTGTTACAATTCCAAAAGACAGGCTTTATTGGAAATCCGGGGAATGAAATGGTGAGGTGTAGCCTCCCTAGGAAGAGTGGAACTGGCAGCGTGGCAGGCAGGAAGCAACGGGCAGCGGGCAGGTAGCTACAGTGAAGGGCATGATCCTGAGACAAGGGAAAAAACAAGGTTAGGGTTTGTAGCAAAAAGCACTTCTCTTAAATACTCCTACTTGGCCTAGAAGCTTACTATCAGGTTTGTTGATGCAACAATGGGGCAGAGAGTGGATGTAGAACCAGGGTTTAAATACTGCAGGGCAGATGAGTTGATGGCTGGCAGGTTTGAGCAGTTAGACAGGTGAGCAGGTAATCAAGGAGAGTGGGAGGAGTCCTAACACAGACACAGGGAAACCAAGGAGGAGTTTTAGGCAATCATCAGTTTAGGCAATGATTAAAAAAGGAGTCCCTTAAGAAAAAAGGTTGGGAACCACAAGTTTAAGGCATCCTTAAATCCTATCTACTCCCAAGCGAAGGGCTGATAATTGGCAGCATGGCACAGCTTTAAAATGTAATTCCATTGTATCTGCTCAGGTTAGATTAAAGTGGCTGGCCCAGCTGGCTTGAGGCAACCTAGTCTGAATGCCAGTAGACACTAATTAGCAACCCCTCTGGTATGAGAAACTTTTTTTCTCCCTTGATCTGTCCTATCAAATTAAGGAAGGCGATATCAAAAAGAATGTGTGTTTTACTATGAAAGTGACTGCAAGTCTACCCAGTGATCAAGGGAGCACAATTTCAGTAACTGGTGATTTTGCGTCATTGAGTTTGGCTACAAGTATTCTAGTCTGCATTACTGCCATAGGAAGAAGACGAATAGCTACCTGCACGGAAAATAACATATTGAAGATGACAAGAAGTGAAGCTGCTGCGACAGCTCTGGTTGCATTAAAAAGAAAAACAGTCAACTGTTTTCATATATTAGGAGAAGGACTCCATAATCGTGTAGTGGTACCTGGAGAAGTGGGTATACTCTGTATTCATGTCTAAATTGTTTTTAAGCGGCTGTCCAGTAAAGGATAAAACCCCTGTGTTATTAACAGTGACATATAAAACTACCGATAAGCAATAAATTCTGGCCCACAGACTGGGGTAAGACAACTAAATAATAATGCATTTTATTAGTATAGTATTCCTTATTCCTTACTCTATCTACTCATGAAAACTGGACAGTTTTGTCATCCCTATGCCATTCTAGGGGAAAAAATTCAGCAAGCATAAAAATACTGAATAATGCACATCAGGGAGGATTTAAAAATGGGTATACCCATGAAAAATAAGTGGGTATACTCCGTATACCTACGCATGTCCTGCACTACATGACCAGTCATCCGTAATGATGACTGTTGTCTGTTGATATCATTTCAATGTATTATTTCAGGTGTATTACTCAGCATGTTATTTCTTATATAGTTTGATGTTACATGTTTCAGCGCTCTTTCTTTATACTTTGCTTTGTTGTTGTTGATATGCACACATGCATGTAATGTAGTGGAAAATAAAAGGTATAGGATAGTATAGAGATTTTTCCTTAATCCATGCTCACAAATCATTGAGTTGAGGAAACAGATTTCAAACAATGTTTGGAAGAAGATCTGGATTGTTGTCATTGTCTGGCCTGTGTACTCAGTATCATGAGGGAATATGATGGTGCTGGTGGCACTCTAAGGTCATGGTTTGTTTTTCTCCATGTGGATTTAGAGTCAAAAAAGAACAGCAATGGTAATGGGCCGATCAACCCTATTCTCTTATGGCAAATAAACTCCTATGAAACTCATTAAAAGTAATTATTGATAGCTTCATTAATTGGATTTAGTTGGATGACATGAAAGGTAGAAAAAAGTTTGTAAAAGTTAAAATTAACTATTGATTTGTCTTGAAGTTTCCGTAAGAATTCAGTGTTATCAAGATGCTTTAATTAGGCTTAAAGGGTAAGTTTGGAATATTGCAACTTGGACACTTATTATAACTTTTTGGCTGCAGGGCTCTCACTCAATATTGGGCTAAATTCAAAACTTGTTCTCCCAGTGAGTTACGCTGACACAAAAACATCACTTTATGGTGGGTATATCCATATCAGCAATGTTTTATTTCCAATTCTGCAAACTTTTCGCAATTAACTGGACTCTCTGAGTGTTAATATGTTCACTTTCATGTTTTTTTTACCAGATATATTGCACTTAAAACTATAAACATGTTGTCTGTTATTATTTGCGTTTAAAAAAGCTTGAACACATTGTGACAGAACACTCCAAGAGAGTAACTTAGTACTTACTGAAACATATTAAAATGGATTCAACGATAAAAAAGCGGTAATTTTCTTGTTATAAGCACTGATGACAGACAATGTAGAGCAGCAAAGACTGCTCCAAAATTATACAAGAAAAACACAAGTGTTTAACATAAGCTGTGGCGTTCTCATCATTATACGTGTTTGTTTTGTGGAACCATGAACCACACATGATAAACAATTAATAGCAGATGTTAAGTGATATTACAACTCAAAAAAGGTAAGGTCAGGGTTGTATTTGTCGAATCTGTGTCAATAAATCTGAGAAAGAAAAAAAGGACAGAAAAAAAGCTCTGAATGATTACTTAATATGAAAACAGGTAACAGACATTAACTCTGACATTTTAGGCCACATCATTTGACTAATGAGCAAAAGGATGTTTCATTTTTTGAAGTTATGACCCACTGGGGATGCTGGAGCCAGTCAGGGCATATTAACTACTTACTTGTTAATAAAATGAAAGCATTTCAACAAATAAGGTACACCTGTATGCAATAAATGGTCATTTCTGTGGCAGAATTATTGTATTAATGTGTCAAATCTAAAGATTTATTTTTGGCAAAGCCACAGAGAGTATAGTACTTCAGAGCAAGAAAAAACTTTTCATCCCTAAGGCCATAAATAAGAGGACTGAGGCATCTTGGAGCAAGACTAAACATTATGTAGTTAAAGTACCTGACATTAACAAATAACAAGAAATTAATCTGAAGTACAGCACCTTCTATAAATGGACACAACAGCTGGATGAGACAGAGGAGCAGCTGGAAACCATGAAGAATTACTGTTCTCAGCCCTTTCCATGTTGACTTTTTATTCTCTCCTGATGCAGCTTTGGCCACTTTCATTATTTCAATATAAGAGAATACAATAGCAATAAACATGATCAAGAAGTAAACCTGACTTATACCTGACCTAAAATGACCTTGCCAACTGTGCAAAAGGAGCATCTCAACAGAGCAGACCTTGTATTCTTTGTATAAACTAAGGGAGGCTAATGCAAAGAAGGTGGACAGAATAAGAAAGCAGGGTACAAAGCTGAGGCCCTGAATGATGAGAAGAGTGGGCAGAGCACGGCGTGAGGAACACAGCTCTGAGTGGCGCAGGGGCATGCAAATAGCCATGTAGCGCTCCAGAGTCATTGCAGTCAAAGTAATTGGTGTGACAAAAGTGTACACAGATAACCATATAAATATAAAAAGACAAAACTGCATCTGTATAGTAACACGAAAATAGCTCAGGATGAGCGTGAAATCTGTCACAATTAAAAGCAGACAGTCAGACACTAGAGTATTAGCAAATAAGATGTAGCGCATGGTTGTGTAGAAAAAATCCTTCATAGAAAAGGTTATGATCAACATAAAGTTGATGCAAAGGAAAATTGCCACCAAAACCTGAACTATAATGACCTGATAATTGATCTTTCGCATTAAGGGTTGACCACCAGCCACTGAGTTATTATCAGCCATATATTTCAACGTTGCGACTAAATACAGAAGGATTTGGCCCTGAAGACAAAGTAAAAATCAAGAAATCATGTATCATTATCTAAACTGTCTGTAATAATAACCTAAAGTTAAGTTATTGTTAAAATTCAGAAACCTTCTAACTTTTGACCAGATCAAACACACAGCTATAATATTTTACACACATAAGCATAAACAGATAAATAGATTAAAGACCATAAGATCCCTCAGTTTACCAAACCTTCCCAGTATTCAAATGGCATCATGGCTCACAGGTACAAAGACAAATGTGAGCTGAGCTCTGTGGAGCCTTCTAAGAGAAACTTCATAGTCTTGAGTGGGAAACATATTTACATCACAATGTCGTCATCACTACGGATACTATATTCAATTAGATACACTGAGTTCTGGAAAAGTTTTTGACTGAGAGTAGCTGGGCTTCTTTACAAACAACTACATTTGGGGGTTTTCTTGGTTTGACTCAGTACTCAAAGCCATTTGACTCAGTTGTCTGTGTATATGTGTGATCACAAATATTGAACATTACATTAACACACCTATGGTATAAAACTGTAAAGCTATGGTGCGGTTGTCAGCACACATAGAGAATATATATCTGTTAAGTAGTATTTTGTTTAAAGTATAAGTTCCATGGGAATCGCCTTGGCTTGACCAACTATGGAAGCTCCAATGACAATATATAGAGATAGAAGTAAGTCTATGCTACAGTGTATGACCGACAGAAGTGTAATGAATAATAGTAGTACTTTAATGCTATGATGCAGTTGTCAGCACAAGGAGAGTATGTAGGGATTATTTTGACAATTTCTGCAAACTCTTCGCAATTAACTGGACTCTCTGAGTGTTAATATGTTCACCTTCATGTTTTTTTCCTGAATATATTGCACTAAAAACTATTTACATGTTGTCTGTTATTGTTTGTGTTTAAAAAAGCTTGAACACATTGTGACAGAACACTCCAAGAGAGTAACTTAGTACTTACTGAAAAATATTAAAATGGATTCAACAATAAAAAAGCGGTAATTTTATTGTTATAAGCACTGATGACAGACAATGTAGAGCAGCAAAGACTGCTCCAAAATTATACAAGAAAAACACAAGTGTTTAACATAAGCTGTGGCGTTCTCATCATTATACGTGTTTGTTTTGTGGAACCATGAACCACACATGATAAACAATTAATAGCAGATGTTAAGTGATATTACAATTTAAAAAAGGTAAGGTCAGGGTTGTATTTGTCGAATCTGTGTCAATAAATCTGAGAAAGAAAAAAAGGACAGAAAAAAAGCTCTGAATGATTATTTAATATGAAAACAGGTCACAGACATTAACGCTGACATTTTAGGCCACATCATTTGACTAATGAGCAAAAGGATGTTTCATTTTTTGAAGTTATGACCCACTGGGGATGCTGGAGCCAGTCAGGGCATATTAACTGCTTACTTGTTAATTAAATGAAAACATTTCAACAAATAAGGTACATCTGTATGCAATAAATGGTCATTTCTGTGGCAGAATTATTGTATTAATGTGTCAAATCTAAAGATTTATTTTTGGCAAAGCCACAGAGAGAATAGTACTTCAGAGCAAGAAAAAACTTTTCATCCCTAAGGCCATAAATAAGAGGACTGAGGCATCTTGGAGCAAGACTAAACATTATGTAGTTAAAGTACCTGACATTAACAAATAACAAGAAATTAATCTGAAGTACAGCACCTTCTATAAATGGACACAACAGCTGGATGAGACAGAGGAGCAGCTGGAAACCATGAAGAATTACTGTTCTCAGCCCTTTCCATGTTGACTTTTTATTCTCTCCTGATGCAGCTTTGGCCACTTTCATTATTTCAATATAAGAGAATACAATAGCAATAAACATGATCAAGAAGTACACCTGACTTATACCTGACCTAAAATGACCCTGCCAACTGTGCAAAAGGAGCATCTCAACAGAGCAGACCTTGTATTCTTTGTATAAACTAAGGGAGGCTAATGCAAAGAAGGTGGACAGAATAAGAAAGCAGGGTACAAAGCTGAGGCCCTGAATGATGAGAAGAGTGGGCAGAGCACTGCGTGAGGAACACAGCTCTGAGTGGCGCAGGGGCATGCAAATAGCCACGTAGCGCTCCAGAGTCATTGCAGTCAAAGTAATTGGTGTGACAAAATTGTACATAGATGACGACATAACAATAAAAAGACAAAACTGCATCTGCATAGTAATACGAAAGTAGCTCAGGATGAGTATGGAATCTGTCACAATTAAAAGCACACAGTCAGACACTAGAGTATTAGCAAATAAGATGTAGCGCATGGTTGTGTAGAAAAAATCCTTCATAGAAAAGGTTATGATCAACATAAAGTTGATGCAAAGGAAAATTGCCACCAAAACCTGAACTATAATGACCTGATAATTGATCTTTCGCATTACGGGTTGACCACCAGCCACTGAGTTATTATCAGCCATATATTTCAACGTTGCGACTAAATACAGAAGGATTTGGCCCTGAAGACAAAGTAAAAATCAAGAAATCATGTATCATTATCTAAACTGTCTGTAATAATAACCTAAAGTTAAGTAATTGTTAAAATTCAGAAACCTTCTAACTTTTGACCAGACCAAACACACAGCTATAATATTTTACACACATAAGCATAAACAGATAATTAGATTAAAGACCATAAGATCCCTCAGTTTACCAAACCTTCCCAGTATTCAAATGGCATCATGGCTCACAGGTACAAAGACAAATGTGAGCTGAGCTCTGTGGAGCCTTCTAAGAGAAACTTTATAGTCTTGAGTGGGAAACAAATTTGCATCACAATGTCGTCATCACTACGGATACTATATTCAATTAGATACACTGAGTTCTGGAAAAGTTTTTGACTGAGAGTAGCTGGGCTTCTTTACAAACAACTACATGGGTTTTCTTTTTTTTCTTTTATTGAAAGTGACAGTTGAAGATAGACAAGAAAGGGGGGCAGATAGATAGAGGGGATGACATGCAGCAAAGGGCCCCAGGTCAGACTCGAACCCGGGCCGCTGCAGCAACTCCGTACGTGGGTCGCCAGCTCTACTGACTGAGCTAACCGGGCACCCCATTTGGGGGTTTTCTTGGTTTGACTCAGTACCCAAAGCCATTATGACTCAGTTGTCTGTGTATATGTGTGTTCACAAATATTGAACATTACATAAACACACCTATGGTATAAAACTGTAAAGCTATGGTGCGGTTGTCAGCACACATAGAGAATATATATCTGTTAAGTAGTATTTTGTTTAAAGTATAAGTTCCGTGGGAATCACCTTGGCTTGACCAACTATGGAAGCTCCAATGACAATATATAGAGATAGAAGTAAGTCTATGCTACAGTGTATGACCGACAGAAGTGTAATGAATAATAGTAGTACTTCAATGCTATGGTGCAGTTGTCAGCACACAGAGAGTATGTAGGGATTAAGGGTGCTGGACATTCATTTTTTTAATTTTTGTTTTTGTTTTGGGGGGAAGCATTTTGCCATTGGCTCTGGGTCTGGTTGCGAGAATGCAAGCCTTATTTGTTGTATTACAGCTGTGAATGAGCATTTGCCTTGGTAGACCACTTTTCTCCCTGCATAAAGAACTGATTGAAATGAATTAGGACAAAGTGCTAATGTTGATGGAAAACCAGCCTAAACTTACCCACTCATTAGAATCTGCTCCTCATACTGTATTGTATGGCTTTTTGTTTTAGAATTAAGTCTTGCTTTACACTTAGTACCAGAAAATAAACTTGTGGAATCTTAAACTTTTTTTGTCTGTGATTTATTATGGTGACATATTCAATTCAATTCAATTCAATTTTATTTTTATAGCGCCAATTCATAACAGAAGATATCTCAGGACAATAGAGCAGGTCTAGACCGAACTCCTTATAACAGTTACAGAGACCCAACAGTACCACCATGAGCAAGCACTTGGCAGAAACCTAGGACAGATCCTTCGGCTCTAGGTGGGTGGTCGTCTGTCTCGACCAGTAGGGGTGAGAGAGAGCGAGAGACAGAGAGACAGAGAGAGACAGATAGACAGACAGACAGGTGCACAGCAACAACAGTAGCAACAACTACACTAATAATTGTGACTGATGATGATGAACATGACAACAGCAACGATGGGGGACAATGAGCGGTGACAACAGCAACAACAGTAACCGTAGCAATAATAATACTTATAATAATAATAACACTAATATCAGTGATATTGGCAATGGCAGTCAAGCAGGACCATGGCAGGAGGCTCCACCAGGATCCACGAGAAGCTGCAAGAAAAGAAAGCACAAGAACTCCGGGGAAGAAGTGAAGTTAGTAACATGCATTAATGGGACATGAATGAGTGCAGAAAGAGAGAAAGAGGAAGAGAGGAGCTCAGTGCATCATGGGAAATCCCCTGATAGCCTAGGCCTATAGCAGCATAACTAAGGGATGGTTCAAGACTCACCTGAGCCAACCCTAACTATAAGCTTTATCAAAAGGTAATGTTTTAAGCCTACTCTTGAATGTGGTGAGGGTGTCTGCCTCCCGAACCACATCTGGAAGCTGGTTCCACAGGAGAGGAGCTTGGTAACTGAAGGCTCTGGCTCCTGTTCTACTTTTAGAGACTATAGGAACCACAAGTAGCCCAGCATTCAGAGAACATAGTGTTCCAGAGGGGTAATATGGTACTATGAGCTCTTTAAGACATGAAGGGGCCTGACCATGAAGAGCTTTATAGGTGAGGAGGAGGATTTTAAATTCTATTCTAAATTTTACAGGGAGCCAATGCAGAGAAGCTAGTACAGGAGAGATGTGATCTCTTTTTCTAGTTCCTGTCAGTACTCGTGCTGCAGCGTTTTGAATTAATTGGAGCGTTTTAATGGACTTATTGGGGCAGCCTGATAATAAAGAGTTGCAGTAATCCAGCCTAGAAATAACAAATGCATGGATTAGTTTTTCTGCATCTGTCTGTGATAGGATGTGTCTAATTTTTGTAATATTACGTAAATGAAAGAAGGCAGCCCTAGAGGTCTGCTTTATGTGGGAGTTAAATGACAAATCCTGATCAAAGACACCTCCAAGATTCCTGACAGTGGTGCTAGAGGCCAAGGTAATGTCATCTAGAGTAACTATATCTTTAGACACTGAGTCTCTAAGGTTTTTGGGGCCAAGTACGAGAATTTCGTTTTTTTCTGAGTTTAACATCAGAAAATTGCAGCTCCTCCAGGATTTTATGTCCTTTAGACATGTTTGTAATTTAGATAATTGATAAATTTCATCGGGCTTGATTGATAGATATAACTGCGTATCATCTGCATAAGAGTGAAAGTTAATGGAGTGATTCCTAATAATGTTGTCTAAAGGGAGCATATATAAAGTAAATAGTATTGGTCCAAGTACAGAACCTTGTGGAACTCCATGACAAACTTTAGTATTTATGGAGGATTCATCGTTAACATGTACAAACTGAGAATGATCTGATAAGTATGACTTAAACCAGCTTAGGGCAGTTCCTTTAATGCCAATTTGATGCTCAAGTCTCTGTAAAAGAATATCATGGTCAATGGTGTCACATGCAGCACTAAGATCTAATAATACAAGTACAGAGACAAGTCCATTGTCGGAAGCAATCAGAAGGTCATTATTACCTTTAACCAGAGCTGTCTCTGTGCTGTGATGAACTCTAAACCCTGACTGAAAATCCTCAAATAAACTATTGTTATGTAGACAGTCACACAACTCTTTGGCAACTACTTTCTCCAGAATCTTAGAGAGGAAGGGGAGGTTAGAAATCGGTCTATAATTGGCTAAAACCCCTGGGTCAAGAGTGGGCTTTTTAAGAAGGGGTTTAATTACAGCTACTTATTTCAGCAAGCATAACAATACTGAATGATGCATATCAGGGAGGATTTTAAAAAAGTGGGTATACTCCATATACCTACGCATGTCCTGCACTGCATGACCACTCATCCGTAATGATGACTGTTGATATAATTTCAATGTATTATTTCAGGTGTATTACTCAGCATGTTATTTCTTATATAGTTTGATGTTACATGTTTCAGCACTCTTTCTTTATACTTTGCTTTGTTGTTGTTGATATGCACACATGCATGTAATGTAGTAGGAAATAAAAGGTATAGTATAGTATAGAGATTTTTCCTTAATCCATGCTCACAAATCATTGAGTTGAGGAAACAGATTTCAAACAATGTTTGGAAGAAGATCTGGATTGTTGTCATTGTCTGGCCTGTGTACTCAGTATCATGAGGGAATATGATGGTGCTGGTGGCACTTGAAGGTCATGGTTTGTTTTTCTCCATGTGGATTTAGAGTCAAAAAAGAACAGCAATGGTAATGGGCCGATCAACCCTATTCTCTTATGGCAAATAAACTCCTATAAAACTCATTAAAAGTAATTATTGATAGCTTCATTAATTGGATTTAGTTGGATGACATGAAAGGTAGAAGAAAGTTTGTAAAAGTTAAAATTAACTATTGATTTGTCTTGAAGTTTCTGTAAGAATTCAGTGTTATCAAGATGCTTTAATTAGGCTTAAAGGGTAAGTTTGGAATATTGCAACTTGGACACTTATTATAACATTTCGGCTGCAGGGCTCTCACTCAATATTGGGCCAAATTCAAAACTTATTCTCCCAGTGAGTTACGCTGACACAACATCACTTTATGGTGGGTATATATATAATTAAGCAATGTGATTTTTCCAGCTCAATCCAGAATTGTGGATTTTCCAATTTCTGCAAACTCTTCGCAATTAACTGGACTCTCTGAGTGTTAATATGTTCGCCTTCATGTTTTTTGACCAAATATATTGCACTAAAAACTATTTACATGTTGTCTGTTATTGTTTGTGTTTAAAAAAGCTTGAACACATTGTGACAGAACACTCCAAGAGAGTAATTTACTGAAAAATATTAAAATGGATTCAACGATAAAAAAGCGGTAATTTTATTGTTATAAGCACTGATGACAGACAATGTAGAGCAGCAAAGACTGCTCCAAAATTATACAAGAAAAACACAAGTGTTTAACATAAGCTGTGGCGTTCTCATCATTATACGTGTTTGTTTTGTGGAACCATGAACCACACATGATAAACAATTAATAGCAGATGTTAAGTGATATTACAATTTAAAAAAGGTAAGGTCAGGGTTGTATTTGTGGAATCTGTGTCAATAAATCTGAGAAAGAAAAAAAGGACAGAAAAAAAGCTCTGAATGATTATTTAATACTAAAACAGGTCACAGACATTAACTCTGACATTTTAGGCCACATCATTTGACTAATGAGCAAAAGGATGTTTCATTTTTTGAAGTTATGACCCACTGGGGATGCTGGAGCCAGTCAGGGCATATTAACTGCTTACTTGTTAATTAAATGAAAGCATTTCAACAAATAAGGTACATCTGTATGCAATAAATGGTCATTTCTGTGGCAGAATTATTGTATTAATGTGTCAAATCTAAAGATTTATTTTTGGCAAAGCCACAGAGAGTATAGTACTTCAGAGCAAGAAAAAACTTTTCATCCCTAAGGCCATAAATAAGAGGACTGAGGCATCTTGGAGCAAGACTAAACATTATGTAGTTAAAGTACCTGACATTAACAAATAACAAGAAATTAATCTGAAGTACAGCACCTTCTATAAATGGACACAACAGCTGGATGAGACAGAGGAGCAGCTGGAAACCATGAAGAATTACTGTTCTCAGCCCTTTCCATGTTGACTTTTTATTCTCTCCTGATGCAGCTTTGGCCACTTTCATTATTTCAATATAAGAGAATACAATAGCAATAAACATGATCAAGAAGTAAACCTGACTTATACCTGACCTAAAATGACCTTGCCAACTGTGCAAAAGGAGCATCTCAACAGAGCAGACCTTGTATTCTTTGTATAAACTAAGGGAGGCTAATGCAAAGAAGGTGGACAGAATAAGAAAGCAGGGTACAAAGCTGAGGCCCTGAATGATGAGAAGAGTGGGCAGAGCACTGCGTGAGGAACACAGCTCTGAGTGGCGCAGGGGCATGCAAATAGCCACGTATCGCTCCAGAGTCATTGCAGTCAAAGTAATTGGTGTGACAAAATTGTACATAGATGACGACATAACTATAAAAAGACAAAACTGCATCTGCATAGTAATACGAAAGTAGCTCAGGATGAGTATGGAATCTGTCACAATTAAAAGCACACAGTCAGACACTAGAGTATTAGCAAATAAGATGTAGCGCATGGTTGTGTAGAAAAAATCCTTCATAGAAAAGGTTATGATCAACATAAAGTTGATGCAAAGGAAAATTGCCACCAAAACCTGAACTATAATGACCTGATAATTGATCTTTCGCATTACGGGTTGACCACCAGCCACTGAGTTATTATCAGCCATATATTTCAACGTTGCGACTAAATACAGAAGGATTTGGCCCTGAAGTTAAAGTAAAAATCAAGAAATAATGTATCATTATCTAAACTGTCTGTAATAATAACCTAAAGTTAAGTAATTGTTAAAATTCAGAAACCTTCTAACTTCTGACCAGACCAAACACACAGCTATAATATTTTACACACATAAGCATAAACAGATAATTAGATTAAAGACCATAAGATCCCTCAGTTTACCAAACCTTCCCAGTATTCAAATGGCATCATGGCTCACAGGTACAAAGACAAATGTGAGCTGAGCTCTGTGGAGCCTTCTAAGAGAAACTTTATAGTCTTGAGTGGGAAACAAATTTGCATCACAATGTCGTCATCACTACGGATACTATATTCAATTAGATACACTGAGTTCTGGAAAAGTTTTTGACTGAGAGTAGCTGGGCTTCTTTACAAACAACTACATGGGTTTTCTTTTTTTTGCCCTTTTATTGAAAGTGACAGTTGAAGATAGACAGGAAAGGGGGGTAGATAGATAGAGGGGATGACATGCAGCAAAGGGCCCCAGGTCAGACTCAAACCCGGGCCGCTGCAACAACTCTGTACGTGGGTCGCCAGCTCTACTGACTGAGCTAACTGGGCACCCCATTTGGGTGTTTTCCTGGTTTGACTCAGTACCCAAAGCCATTATGACTCAGTTGTCTGTGTATATGTGTGTTCACAAATATTGAACATTATATTAACACACCTATGGTATAAAACTGTAAAGCTATGTCAGCACACATAGAGAATATATATCTGTTAAGTAGTATTTTGTTTAACGTATAAATTCTATGGGAATCGCCTTGGCTTGACCAACTATGGAAGCTCCAATGACAATATATAGAGATAGAAGTAAGTCTATGCTACAGTGTATGACCGACAGAAGTGTAATGAATAATAGTAGTACTTCAATGCTATGGTGCAGTTGTCAGCACACAGAGTATGTAGGGATTAAGGGTGGTGGATATTGATTTTTTTGAATTTTTGTTTTTGTTTTGGGGGGAAGCATTTTGCCATTGGCTCTGGGCCTGGTTGCAAGAATGCAAGCCTTATTTGTTGTATTACAGCTGTGAATCAGCATTTGCCTTGATAGACCACTTTTCTCCCTGCATAAAGAACTGATTGAAATGAATGAGGACAAAGTGCTAATGTTGATGGAAAACCAGCCTAAACGTACCTACACATTAGAGTCTGCTCCTCATACTGTATTGTATGGCTTTTTTTTTTAGAATTAAGTCTTGCTTTACACTTAGAACCAGAAAATAAACTTGTGGAATCTTAAACTTTTTTTGTCTGTGATTTATTATGGTGACATACAATTCAATTCAATTACATTTTATTTGAATAGCGCCAATTCATAACAGAAGTTATCTCAGGACACTTTTCAAATAGAGCAGGTCTAGACCGAACTCCTTATAACATTTACAGAAACCCAACAGTACCACCATGAGCAACCACTTGGCGACAGGGGGAAGGAAAAACTGCCTGTTAAAAGGCAGAAACCTAGGACAGATCCTTCGGCTCTAGGTGGGTGGTCGTCTGTCTCGACCAGTTGGGGTGAGAGAGAGAGAGAGAGAGAGAGAGAGAGAGAGACAGACAGACAGACAGACAGACAGACAGACAGGTGCACAGCAACAACAGTAGCAACAATTACATTAATAGTAGTGACTGATGATGATGAACATGACAACAGCAACAACAGTAACCGTAGCAATAATAATACTTATAATAATAATAACACTAATATCAGTCATATTGGCAATGGCAGTCAAGCAGGACCATGGCAGGAGGCTCCACCAGGATCCATGAGAAGCTGCGAGACGAGAAAGCACAAGAACTCCGAGGAAGAAGTGAAGGTAGTAACATGCATTAATGGGACATGAATGAGTGCAGAAAGAGAGAAAGAGGAAGAGAGGAGCTCAGTGCATCATGGGAAATCCCCTGATAGCCTAGGCCTATAGCAGCATAACTAAGGGATGGTTCAGGACTCACCTGATCCAACCCTAACTATAAGCTTTATCAAAAGGTAATGTTTTAAGCCTACTCTTGAATGTGGTGAGGGTGTCTGCCTCCCAAACCACATCTGGAAGCTGGTTCCACAGGAGAGGAGCTTGGTAACTGAAGGCTCTGGCTCCTGTTCTACTTTTAGAGACTATAGGAACCACAAGTAGCCCAGCATTCAGAGAACGTAGTGTTCTAGAGGGGTAATATGGTACTATGAGCTCTTTAAGACATGAAGGGGCCTGACCATGAAGAGCTTTAAAGGTGAAGAGGAGGATTTAAAATTCTATTCTAAATTTTACAGGGAGCCAATTCAGAGAAGCTAGTACAGGAGAGATGTGATCTCTTTTTCTAGTTCCTGTCAGTACTCGTGCTGCAGCGTTTTGAATTAATTGGAGCGTTTTAATGGACTTATTGGGGCAGCCTGATAATAAAGAGTTGCAGTAATCCAGCCTAGAAGTAACAAATGCATGGATTAGTTTTTCTGCATCTGTCTGTGATAGGATGTGTCTAATTTTTGTAATATTACGTAAATGAAAGAAGGCAGCCCTAGAGGTTTGCTTTATGTGGGAATTAAATGACGAATCCTGATCAAAGATAACTCCAAGATTCCGGACAGTGGTGCTAGAGGCCAAGGTAATGTCATCTGGAGTAACTATATCTTTAGACACTCAGTCTCTAAGGTTTTTGGGGCCAAGTACGAGAATATCGTTTTTTTCTGAGTTTAACATCAGAAAATTGCAGCTCCTCCAGGATTTTATGTCCTTTAGACATGTTTGTAATTTAGATAATTGATAAATTTCACGGGCTTGATTGATAGATATAACTGCGTATCATCTGCATAAGAGTGAAAGTTAATGGAGTGATTCCTAATAATGTTGTCTAAAGGGAGCATATATAAAGTAAATAGTATTGGTCCAAGTACAGAACCTTGTGGAACTCCATGACTAACTTTAGTATTTATGGAGGATTCATCGTTAACATGTACAAACTGAGAACGATCTGATAAGTATGACTTAAACCAGCTTAGGGCAGTTCCTGTAATGCCAATTTGATGCTCAAGTCTCTGTAAAAGAATATCATGGTCAATGGTGTCAAATGCAGCACTAAGATCTAATAATACAAGTGCAGAGACAAGTCCATTGTCGGAAGCAATCAGAAGGTCATTATTAACTTTAACCAGAGCTGTCTTTGTGCTGTGATGAACTCTAAATCCTGACTGAAAATCCTCAAATAAACTCGGGTTATGTACCCGGGCCGCTGCACCAACTCCGTACGTGGGTCGCCAGCTCTACTGACTGAGCTAACCAGGCACCCCATTTGGGGGTTTTCTTGGTTTGAGCCATTATGACTCAGTTGTCTGTGTATATGTGTGTTCACAAATATTGAACATTACATTAACACACCTATGGTATAAAACTGTAAAGCTATGGTGTCTTTGTCAGCACACATAGAGAATATATATCTGTTAAGTAGTATAGTAGACAATATATAGAGACAGAAGTAAGTCTATGCTACAGTGTATGACCGACGGAAGTGTAATGACTAATAGTAGTACTTCAATGCTATGGTGCAGTTGTCAGCACACAGAGAGTATGTAGGGATTAAGGGTGCTGGACATTCATTTTTTTTATTTTTGTTTTTGTTTTGGGGGGAAGCATTTCGCCATTGGCTCTGGGTCTGGTTGCGAGAATGCAAGCCTTATTTGTTGTATTACAGCTGTGAATCAGCATTTGCCTTGGTAGAGCCCTTTTCTCCCTGCATAAAGAACTGATTGTAATGAATGAGGACAAAGTGCTAATGTTGATGGAAAACCAGCCTAAACGTACCCACTCATTAGAATCTGCTCCTCATACTGCATTCAGTTGGATACACTGAGTTCTGGAAATGTTTTTGAATGACAGTTGTCTTCTTTACAAAACACTACATTTGGGTTTTTTCTTGGTTTGACTCAACATATGGGAAGTTTGTAAAAGGTAGAGAATAACATAACTAATCTAAATTCTATCAAAAGTTCGGCACAACTGACTTTTTTTCAAAGTAGGATGTAAATACTTGAGTGCACAGGCAGAGTAAAGTGAATTAAATAGATTGAAATATAGTAAATACATTTGTAATATGCACGACACATTGCAAACTTTTCTGTTTCTTCTGTTCTTTTATTTTTATTTGGATAACTTTTTGAACTTTTACACCTTACTGCACAGCTGCAGTGTGTGATCTGCACAGTCATCAACTTCTGATAGTTAACTTTGCGATGTCATGAGGGCATATTACACAGTCTGAAGCTTTGGCTTGTTTTTCCATCATCAGACAATGTTTTCTGTAATGTAATGATGTGATGACAATTAGTGAGCTCTGTGTATCCCTGAGTGTAATATCAAACTCCAGTGAAACTAATTAAAAGTGTGGCATCATTAATTATTTAAAGACTGCTCTGTTTATGTTGGCTTGGCTAAGAAATACATCTGTAATTATTTGTTTCTTAACAGTTTAACAAAATACACTTTAAATAAAATATATTTTATTTATTTAACATTTGCAAAATAAAGGTTCTTTATCATGGAAGTGGGTACATTTAATCTTCATTCACACATTCACATTAACTGCATGCTCTAACCCTAAACATAATGAGGGCAAACAACTGCAGGGTCATAGGCACAACCTTTACTACGGTACAGTGCAAAGCTAAAAAAGAGACTGTCAAGGGCCTGCCTGGAGTGTATGCCACTGCATGTCTTATCTTAAACTAATGCTCTACCCTCATTTCTTGACTTTTGTTTGGTAATTTTATTTTATGTGTCGTTGGTTTCATGTCTCAAACTGCACAACTACACAGGGGGAGAGGAAAATAGAGAGAGAGGTCTTACTTTCACCAGGTTCTGCATTTGGACAAAATATATGTGTATATATTGAACACATCAATGCATTTTGAGCTATGTAATGTTTAGAGGGAATGATGAGACTTATTTGCATATATTTCACACCAATTACATATCATATTTATTATAGTTTGTTCTATATTATGCTATATTCATCACATCTCTGTGCTGTATTGTTGTACTATACCACCATGTCACTTTGCTTGACATGGTACTGTGCCATTAGTTGCCTTGTAATTTGAGTATAAGCTCTTATAGAGTTTCTATTTCTATTCTTAATTTTATTTTTTATACTTCTAAATATTAGTTTTTTTAAATATCTTATTTATTTCTGTCCTTGTGCTGCTGCAACGCCCTACCCTTTCCTCAGGGGACCAATAAAAGTTTACCTTGTGTTATCTTAAACATGGCTGAGCACAAGATAATCTTGCTGTTTTCACCACAAGGGGGCAACAATTCTGTTCTGTGACAGCTTCACAAAGCCAGATATTTTTTTTTACCCCCAGGGTGGCGAAGTCACGACCCACCCTGCTCTGTGTCTCTTTAGGTATGAGGACTGTCATCACCTGTCTGAGAATAGGACACAGGATTAAATCACACACCCCCATATCATCACTATGCACTCATTGTAATAAACCAGAAAATGCCAAACATGATAAATAGATCATCATAAATCTTCACCAGTGACATTAACAAATACACACATACATACATACATACATACATACATACATACATACATACATACATACATACAACAATAATATTAAAGTAGATTTAAATTATCAGCATTTGATGAGGGACACAATATTATACTAGAAAATGTACTTGCAAAGAAATCATAAAAAATACATGATGATTTTGATAATTAATGTTATATTTTAATAATTATTTTAACAGGAATAATAAAGAGGATTTAGTTTTTGTCTACTGCTTCACACTCCAGTCCAGCAGGTGGCGGTAATGCACCTACAAGCTGGTTTGCCAGAAGAAGAAGGAGGAGGAGGAGGAGGCATGAGGAGGAGGCATGAGGAGGTGGCATGAGGAGGTATGAGGACTGAGATTGGTTGGGGTTATGGTAAGGATGTCCGGTTAAGCCAATCAGAGGCAGAATAGGGCCTTTTCCATCCTACGGAACACAACCTGACAGCAGGGGAACCTTTGCTCCGTGATGACGAACATTTTATTGTAGCGGACCAAGATGGCCTCGCTGAGGAGCATAACAAGCTACCTTCGTCTCCTCAGGTAGGCTGTGTATCACAGTTAGATAACATTAAACCGACAACTCTTATACTTTAATGTATACACACTATACTAGACTAACCGTCTCTTTAAAATGAAACGCGACCGTCGACTTTAATGACTTTTAATGTCGGGAAATGAGCATGTTTTAATTAATAACAATGCTACCAAAGACAACCGGAAGTTGTTTTTAATTGCCTGAAATGAGCTTGTTTTCTGTTATAGTTGTACTGCTGCACCACACAGAAATGACTCAGTAAAATAAAAATATACATATAATGTTAAATAAGTTTCGTTTTTCACGTCTCAATCGACACTTTGAGTTTAGAATCAGTATGCAAATGTTTTAATAAAGCTTAAATGTGTGAGCATTATATGTAAATGAAGTCGTGTAGTGCTGCAGAGATGCCCTGGCTTACAAATGTCACAAAACTGTGAGTTTCGATCATTTTAATATTTGTGAAAATGTCATTTGTGATTGAATTAATATTATATGATATGGTGTTTTTGCCATATCGTGCAGCCCTCGTTCAGAGCTAGGTAGCGAGCCTATAGACAGCCTGGGATCACTTTTTCATCTGTGACTGTTTTAAGCTGAAACTGTTTATTTTCAGGAGTTCTGCTCGAGTCCTGCTCAGCACCAGAAAACCTGCAGTCTCTAAACCGGGGCAATGGACAGGTGTTCTGTACAGAAGTATAGGGTCTTTAACTGTCGGCGGTGGGCTGTGTGCTGTACCTTTCAAACAGGCGAGTTTGGCACCTACCGGAGATAAACATGTGTCTATTATATCTTATTGAAGCCATCTACAGTATATAACTTCTCTGTTCCTTGTCCTCCCCTCTGTGTCTCTTCTGCAGGCTGATACCCTCTCGCACGACTCTCTGATCAGACGAGCAGCCTCTCTGGTAACAGACAGTTCAAGCACTTTTCTCTCTCAGGCCACCTTGGCTCTCATAGATGCCATAACAGAGTACTCAAAGGTAAATTGTTGTTGTTGTTGTTGTTGTTGTTGTACAGCATTGTTAGATTTTTTACTATATCTTAGGATTTAGTTTCATAAAGATTATTTTCTAGTATAGTGTGGACAGTGTATGAGCTATTGGTGCACATGCCACCATAATAACGTACATACAGTATAATAATACAAGGAATATAGAAAAGAATAGCCCTTGACAGTTTGTTTGTTTGCCTTAGTCTAACTTAAAATAGGACAGGGATAAAGGCAGAGCGAAGGCAATATCTACAGAATTGTGCACAGACTTTAGTGGATTTTGTCAAGTATAGCCATAAACCTTAAAAGATAATTTCACTGACACTCATATATTTACTCACCTTAGTGAAAGACATGTAGACAGTTTTGGTTTGATTTTGAGTTCCTCACCTCTTCCTCCCGTGCCACTGTGTATGTCCTCCCTCTGCTTGCTAACAGGCTGTGCACACACTCATTTCTCTCCAAAGACGGTATTTGGAATCACTGGGAAAACTGACTCAAGCAGAAGAGGATACAATCTGGCAGGTTATCATTGGCCAGCGTGCCGAGGTTAGTTTATGTTGTCCTCTTCTGACAAAAAAAAGTATATTTAAAACAAACCTACGCATAGCATTCAATTTTTCTGTTCATTTATTGATTGTGACACCATGAATATGACAGCAGACTTGCAAACCTTACAAATGGGCTGTTTTATCTGACTTGGGTTTTAAAATTCTCTGTCCTGACAGGTTAGGGACAGACGAGAGGAATGCAACCGCTTTGAGTTAACCTGGGTCAACGCAGTCAAGCTGTGTGAAACTGCAGCGGAGGCGGCATACACCTCAGGTGTGTAAAAGAACATGTCTGATTGCGGTTCTGTGGCTGTGTGATTAGTTGGGGTGTCATGGTTGTAGTGTTGAGGCAGGTTTTCTCAGGGCTCTAGTAATGATAAATAAGTGTTTTGCTGTGTATCATCTTCTCAAAGCTGTTCACCCTGTTGTCTGTACCTGTTCCCATTCAGCTGCTTTCAGTGTTACACTTTGGACTGTGTATGGATCATTTGTTGTCACTCAGCGGGGCTTTGTGTAAAACAAAATGGAGATGATGGACACAAGTGCCTTCTTAATGACCACACCTAATGTCTGAACTTGAGGTGGTGTTTTGTCAACCTTTGAACCCTTTTGACAGTTTGACAGTGTGTGTGTTTTTGCATCTGTGTGTGTGTCCAGGAGCTGAACATGCGTCCGTCACAGTGAGGACGAACATTCAGGTGGCCCAGTCGCAGGTGCACGAGGCACAGAAACTGTCAGTGGATGCGGATAAGAAGATGGCCGAAGCTAAAGTAATGGAGGTTGAAAGGATGACACAATATGCAGCCACCTTACAGAATGACGAGGAAGAAGTGCCAGAGGCTTACTTAAGAGAAGACTGAAAGGGTATCAGAAAACAAAAGAAAGCATAAAAAGTTCACTTTCAAAGTAAATAATAACTTTTTGTCATCCCTACAATGTCTTCTTTCTTCTTGAGTCTGTCCCAAGTTTGACTCTTTGATTAGGGCTGTATGATATGGTAATGATATCATATTGCAATTATTTTGACAGATATTGCAATTGCAATATGATTCCAGATTGTTGTGGGAATTAAACTTTTGCATCACAAATTAAATTTTCACCCAAAAAAACTATTAAAATTATGATGGTGTGCAATTTTGGGGAGTCTCTACCAAACAAACGTGTCTTAAATCTGGAGGATAAGATTCATAACTACAGTATTTTCATTCTAATGGTTTAAAGATATGGGGCGACAGCTCTATCAGGTGAGCTATTAGGCAATTTGTTTTAATTGTTTTAAATTATGTTTATCAACTGCTTCTGCAGCATAGATGATTGTTTTCTCTCCAATATTTATTGTATTGTGACCTGACAAGCATCTGATTTTTGTGTTTTATTTTGTCCAAATTCATTGTAATAAAGTCAAACACAGAATAAAAACATTCAACTGTTTATTTTTGGTATTCACCTGTAGCAATAGCATGAGAAAAGCAAAGGCTTTACCAGATGAATATGAACTTAAACCAACTACAATGAGTTTTTAACTGGTTATTAAACGGTCTCAACTCGAATACTAATGCCTCAATAAAATAATTTTCTAGTCTGAATTTTTATCAAAGATATAAATGTAAAAGAAATCTCACACAGTGAAGCCCGAGCTATATTCGCAGAACCTTCACTCTCTGCTAAACAGCCGAGTCATGCATTAGAAATTTTAAAACAACCAAAGAGATAATAGAACAAAGAATAACCCTATTAAGAATGTATGATTGTTAAAATCACTGAAACAAAGCGGTAACAACAGTACCGCTTCTGTCCACAAGGGACACCAGAATCAACAAAAAATTAAAGTTCCTTGACGTGCTTGAAGGAACCAGTGGATTAGATTCAGTATTGTGTTTCTAGGGCTTGTTTTTGTAACATCAAGTTCATCCAAGTGACTGAAAAACATTTAACCAGAGGTAAAAATGGAGAGAAAACTCAATGCGGTTGCCAAAGGATGAGAGTTTGAAACCAGCATTTGCCAGATTTTTTCTGAGTTAATTGTTGGTGTGAACGAGTTATGCATGAGAGGTGTTTGTGCAAACCATGTGAACAGAATGTCCCCTGCGGTCATCTTCGGACAGATTCGGTTAACTAAAGTGACCCAAAGCCACTCCGTAAACAGCATAAAACCCAGAGATGCCTCACAATTGGCTGACTACCTAATCGTGAAATAAAACCAATCAGTTGGTAGTACCACTTTTTTTTTTTTTACATGTGAATATGCCATCCACACAATTTTAAACCTGCAAATTAATTTCCCACTCACGTAACTCAGAACATCTTCAAGGTAGTGTTGCTTTACTTGTTGTTTGTATTTCTCTTTTTCACTCAACAACTCTTCCTTAACTGCAAATTACCCATGTCCTGACTCTCTCCTGTGAAGCTTTTAGGCCATCTGTCAACCCCTCCCTGTCATCACTTCATCTACAGCATCACCTCTTTCCACACTGTCACAAATCAGATTTAGGCTAAGGTGTGTGCAGCTGGTCAGATTTGTATATGAGATCATTGCCGTCTGGCCTTGTTTGCATGCATGTAGGATTTCACTTTGGACAAATTTCCCAGAGCAACACACAGTTTATTTTAAATTTCAGACAACAAACCACAAAGTTATTCTGCTGAGGTTGGACCGGAGACTTATTCTATATAACTGCCTTACTTTGAAAGATTACAGCAGGGCTGCCTAAAGCTGAGGTTTCAACTTGGTCATCTAATCATTAACTATTTTTATTTTTCATAATCTGAGCACAGCAAGAAGAGTGATACTTTGTGCAAGAAGTAATTTTTGCATCCTAACAATACAATACAATACAATACAATAGGTATATGCTATTGGCCATTAAGTTTCAATTTTGGCCCTCCAAGAAAAGGAGTTTGGGCACTCCTGGCTTAAAGGATAGGTTTACAATTTTATTTTTAAATAAGTTTAATTAAGTCTGTCTTAAAACAATAGTTCTTGCTGCATTGGCCACTGGTTCAAGTCTGACCTGTTTCCCTTTGCTGCTTGTCATCTCCTCTTTCTCTGCCACATTTTCTGTCTATCTTGAGCTGTCCTGTATAATAAAGGCAAAAAAGCCCCAAAAATATTTTAAAACAACAGTCAGGTGCCCACTGTACACACAAACAGGTTTTTCCTCCTTTTCATACTGGCGTTTTAGAGATTTGCGATGTATTTTCACACAGACTGAAGTGTGGATTTTGTCCCCCATCACTGACATTGGACACACATTAGAAAGAGATCTCTTAATGGCCAGGAGGAACCATTACAGGAAGACAACAATGAAGACAGAATTGTAAACCTACCCATTAATTCCAGCAGATGGCGATCTAGATCCATTATAACACATTTGTATTTGTTACTGCTACAGCTGGATTCACTGTTTCATTTCTAGTCAGTTGAAATGTATTTACTATTTCACTTTTTCACATTGTGCTTACTGTTTCGTTACAAAAGATATGTTTATATGTTTAAGGTTGTGATTAAATGAGATCCCCAGATTGTTGAAGGGCCGTTCATGTAAATACATACTGCCTGCATGTACCTATAGTTTACTGTACGTGTTTGAATGGCATTTTGTCTCCAAACCAGCATGTGCACATCAGTACACCAGTACAGCACTCACTTCTGTCATCATTTGTGTGCATCCTTTTACACTATCCACTACTGTTTCAAAACATCCACCAAGCCTGCAAGTCTATTACCATTCTCACTGGAGAAGCCTTATCCTTCAGTAATGTGAATATGCTCTGTAACAGGTATGCTGCCTTTATTGTCTTCACGTATGCCTTCCAAAGGTCAGTGTGTACTGCAGAGGGTCATTTCATTGGGAGCTCATTATGGGGAAGACCTATGTGGAGCTGCAAACATAAGTGTGTAGCGTCAGCAGCGAGGTGACCTCTCCCTGCTCTAGATGGTCAAGCCTTGGCAGGGGATGAAACCATGAGAGTGGCTACAGAGGGGGGAGGTAGGGGGTGGAAGGTTTTGAGGTGTGCAAGGACTGGCTCACCAATGTGACTAGTGAGGAATGTTGTGTTTAACAAAGGCTGTTTTCACAGGATGTAAAACCAAATGTCCCAGACAGTCTGTGTGGATGTGCACCCACTGGTCACAGGGGAGGTGGTGCCAGTGCAGCCTTGCCTGCTTGCAGGGAAATGTAATAGCGCTTACTGAGTATTTTTGCAGCTTAAAACCTCAATGAGGTAACCACAATTACAAAGGTCATGGGCCATAAATGCTCATAAACAATTTAGTACAACTGAGGGGGTTTGGGGCATTTATACAGCATTTGTGCAGCACAAACTATGCCAGTGGCGTATAATAAGCCTCACTGAAACTATTTCACCCAAATTGGTGATATCATTAACACATTAAATGTTTTGTGGAAGAAAACAAGATGCGATTTATCATCTCATAAATACACAAGCCTCCTCACTGCACTAGCTTTACTGTTCCAACACAAAGTGGCCCAGGGGGGGAGATTGATTGGTGAAAAGGGCAGCACTTTCACCTGGGGATTTATAGCTCTTTGAGGATATAAATAAACCACCAGAGGGTATAAAGGCAGGGGGTATAGTGTGGTGACACATCATGGGTCATGCTTTAATCACAGTGAAGCTGGGCTGTAGCGCTGAGAGAGGGAGCGGGTTAAATTTTGCAGGAGATGGAGGCTCCCTGGAGAGTTCACGTCCCCTGATGAGGACCCTAATACAGGCTATGAAGACGTCACCGCAGAGTGAAATGCTCGACTTGTGAAAGAATCACATTGAAACGAGCATTTTTGCTTATCTTCAGTGAATAAATGTGATGTCCGCCTAAAACTGCTGAGGGAGCATGTTTATCAGTTCAAGCTGCAGAGCACGATAATAACACTGTGCTGCACACAACGCCGGATTCCTGAATGTGTAAAAGCTGTAATTATCTCAAAGAAAAGAACAATGCAAGGGAACGTTTCATTACCACTTTGTTTTAGGACAGAGTAGTCACAGTGTTTAAGCTGGTGAGAACGCACTTTTTCAGAAACAGAAATCAGTGAAGGGCTTTAGTCGCATGTGACTGCTTTGTCCTTCAGTAGCTGGTCTCCTGGGCTTTATATTAACTTTCACATTCACTTCCTTGTTTTTTCCCCTCAGTTTCTGAATACTTTTATGACATCGGTTACACATTGTCTAAAAAATATGTGCCTTAACAATCTCCAGTACAACACACTGATTATTATCTTCATGTTGGTGGTCTATTCATTCAGATATTTCTGTAGAATCACGCCTGGTGATTGGTTCTTTTTAATAAATGTGCTAGATGTGGTAAAGGCGAGTGATAATAAATATATATATATATATATATAGGTACAAATATATATATATATATACGTATATTTCTATATTTTCCTTTCAGGCTTTAAACCTATGCTATCTGTATTGTGATTGATCGAATCTGCTATAAGAGTCTGACGGCCCCTTACAAATGTGTAAAGTGAAAACAACATTTATATCAGCTTACCATTCAAAACCTCCATCTATAAATAAGCTGGACCTGGTGGTTAGACTACAGTGTTACCAGTTGCGGGTCTGATCTCCACAACACCCATGGGACTTGATAAAAACAGATAAAGATTCAGTGTCTCCTTGAGCGAGACAATGAGCCTTTATCTGTTCAGTCTCTGCTGTGAAGAAGATAATCATGCTTAAAAAGTAAACGGTTATTTACACAATTAACAGTTTCTTTGCAGTTAAGCGTGCGTGTAATGCCAATTTATGCACTTGGAACAAGGGGGTTTCCTACTGATTCAAACAAAACTTCACATTTATAGATGTGTATTTTATAACCCCCATGTAAATATTAAACAGATATTTACTTATATAGTCAGTTCCATCCAGGGTCAGATTAATGCTCTAGGGGCCTCTGCTAACCCTTCTAACCCTCTTTCTCACACACTAAAGAATATGTATAATGTAAGCAAACTGATATTATAAAGGCTGCAAAATTAGATTTTAACTTAGGGCCCCAAAATTATTCACTGCTTATCATGGCAGTGTATGCTGTGCTTTAGTGTTGCAAACAGTATTACTAAACAAATGTTCAGTTAATCAAATTACCAAAACCTAATTGCCCCCGGAGGTTTTGGGGCCTCAGGGCAGCTGCTAACGCTGCCCAGATGGTAAACCAGCCACGGTCCTATCCAACAGGAAAAGTTAATGTTTTTAACAAGTCTCATGAAAGGCGGTACGTTAGCCAGTGCTAAAACTACTATTACTACTACTATGGCCTACTACTGTTACTATAACTATATAATGTTTACCACTGATAGAGCTACTACTACCAGTGGTAGAATATAGCTAAGAACATGCACTTTACTGGAGTATCTCCATGTCATACAACTTTATATTTCTATTCTACTAAAACTCAGAGG